AATTGAATTAAAAGAATAAAATTTAGTGAATGAACTTTCCCAACTCTAATGGGAATTAGGTCTAATAAACTGGTTGATAAATGATAAACAAAATAGATTTTCATTTATTAACAAGATTAAAATTTATTTTACTAACCACATACTATTGTTACAACTTAAGGTTTTTGAGGACTGTATCAAAAACATGTTGATTGATTAAGAAAACCAAACATCCTTACATTATTATTGTGTTCAACTGAAAGACTGGATAATTAGATTTTTTTAAATCATCCATATGAATGATTTTAGCATATCGCTATTTTCTAGACTGAATATATTAATTCAGTCAGTCAGCTATAACGTAGGACCAGGCACATATATGCATCGGTCCAAGTTGCCATACCTCATTAACACAACAAGATGAACACCAGATTCATAAAAGTGTTTAATTCAATGGTGGTAATATATAAAAGAAAGATTGCATATAAGCATATAATACAGAAAGAAAGAATTAGTTCGTAGAAAGAAAGATATGAAGGGATTTTAATTTCTTAGTTTAAGGGAAGACAGAGTGTATACACCGACGCCATTGTGATCGATTCTGAGACATGTCACCCAGAGTCTCCAACCATTGGTTACGATAGTCACGTGCACCGCAACCAAGTAGTCTGCATCACCCATATTATATTATATCAACTGCAGTTGATAACTTTCAAGTAAGTCAACATGAGAAAATTCTAAGGAAGAAAAATCTGTCGTCTATTAAAAATGATTCTTTGAATAACTTCAACGCAAAGACAGCAACGTTTCACATGTACGTTGTCCATTATGCAAACAACAGATTCCTCATTTTCGTGACTACTTTTAACACCCTCCATATGTATCAATATAGATATATACATATATAGAAATTCTTGTTCAATCTTACAAAAAGAACCGGTAGTACACAAGACCGGTAGTGGCTAACAATCTCTTTTGAATGCTATTTATGATTCATTTAACCTCATAAATAAGATATAACATCACAACATTCAGTGAATCTGTTAATAAATAGAAAATTACTACATTTTTTAATACGAAACAAAATGACAAAATGTACTTCGGTGCAGAATTCTTGTATAAACATTAAAAACACGAAATTCAGCGAAGGGATCTCTTTTTTTAACGAATTTATTACGAACAATCGTATATACATAAAAGTACCGTGACGATATATGAACAAAAAATAAAGATGATGACGTCATAGAAAGATTACGTAATATGAGTAATAACAATTAGATATTATGTGTGTGCTAATAGAAAGCCATGTAAAATTAATAAGTTAGCAATGAATTATTATGTGAATAAGGCAAGATGATTACAATGCTTTTTAGTACCAGAAGGTGTTTTGTGGAGATTGTAGTAAGTTCAACAGTTGAGATCATGAGTCAATTGAAGCTAGACCACGATGGAAAACCTGGAATCACTGGACGGCCGTTTCGTCCTATCGTGGGACACCTCAGGAGTGCGCATTCACGACCCCGCCTCGCGGGATTCGAACCCAGAACCTATCAGTCTCGCGCCAGGCGCTTAACCAACTAGACCACTGAGTCGGCATTCAAAGGTGTTAATGTCTAACTTCAACTAATAAACGAAATTGAGCGACACATCCACCATTGTCTTCAGTCAGTTCCTATCTCACAACTTACCCGGTTGAACTCCACTGGTCACTGGATGCGCACTGCTGAGAGGTCCCACAATAGAACGAAACGACTGTCCAGTGCTTCCGGGTTTTCCATGGTGGTCTAGCTTCAATTGACTCATGATCTCAACTGTTGAAATCACAATGTTTTTGTTACAATAATTAAAGATGATAAATGTGCATAATAAAATGAAATAATATCAGAAACATTTATGAATAAAATCATAAAGATATGAGACAGAGTTCAAAAGAGAGAAAGGAATATATTTTCAAATACGAAATATAACAATAATAATAATAATAGTTTAAGGCCAAGGTAACGATAAGGATATGACGTACTTCTTTGGTACACAGTTTTGGCTTCAACTCATGGATAGCAATCGTTTCCGTTATTTTAAGGAGTTGGGTATGAAGAAATCTAGGTACTTTAGCACGGATTGTGTAAACAACCTTGCAATCAACCTGTGGATCAGTGGAGTTATTAGAGTCTATTAAATGTTCAAGAATAGAACTGCTCTTATCTCACAGTTGTAGAAAAGTACTGGGATATTTTCCCATATCCAAGTTGAAAGCAAGCGTTTGTTATGGCCAATGAACCTTGCTCCACAAGAGCAGCTGGACTGGTAAATGCACATAAAGGCGACCAGACGATAAAGCTGATTCCTTTACGGATCCAAAAAACAAGTTCCTACTAGAGAACATTAGTAATATAACAAAAGTATAAGATTTAAAAAATGAATAATGGTTCAAAAACCTCACCAATATTATTTTAAAAGAACCGTTTGGTGAAAATCAATCATTTTGGACATATATAGCGTATTAGTATCCAAAAACATTTATTTTAAAGAACTTCAATGTCAGAATTTCAACGTTGATTTTGGTCAATCTCCTAAAGGAAACTGAAACCAGTTTATAATCAGAGATACAGTTTGTGAATATTATAGTAATTTAATGGTTGAATTCATGAGTTAATTAAAGCTATACCACCATGGTAAACCTAGAAGCATTGGACGGCCGTTTCGTCCTAGTGTGGGACTCCTCAACACTAGTGAGTGTCTCCAAGAGGTATTTCCTTGAGTTTTCGTGGAGTTCAGTCGGTCTGTTGTGAGATAGTAACTCATTAAAGACAATGGTAGACGGTGGCGCAACTTCGTAGATTGTTCGAAGTTAGACATTAACACTGTTGGATGCCGGTCGGTCCAGTAGTCTAGAGGTTAAGCGTTCGCGTGCAAGACCGATCGGTCCTTGTTTTAAATCCCAGGAGCGGGACAGTGGATGCACACTGTTGAGGTGTCCAGTGCTTCTAGGTTTCCCATGGTGGTCCAACTTAAATTTTGACAAATGTTTATGTGAAATATATAGTTTTTCATGTTTCTTCATCGTTATATATGATAATTCTAAGCAAATACAAGAATTCATAACATTCAATTAACTTATTATTATAATTGTAATCTCTTAATGTTATTGACAGTTTATCTTCATTTTTTGTGTGTACAGTAAACATTTGGTTATTTGTAATAATTTCTATATTTTGTATGTACAGTTCTCTCATTTCGATGTATTTCCTGTGATTGTTGAATTTGATACAGTTAATGAATATTAATTAATTTATCATAATTTTGATAATTATTCTTATATAAAACACGGTTTCTTCTATTGTACTTCACAAATGTAAACTCATTTTGTAACAATCAACTGAAAGAAGACTTCTGAAATCTTAATTAAGCATTTCAGCTACTTATATTTAATAACATGCCTTGTAACACACATATAACACTGGAATTTAAGTCATGCTATAATAAAATTAATCAGTGGAAATTCCATTTAGTGAAAAGTTTAAAGATCAATGTATATACTGCATAAAATTGGAAGTTTGAAGATTTTAAGCCAAGGGAAGTTATAGAAATGTAAGACAGATTTTTCACACAATAGGGAAACGTATATATTCAATGGGAGAAAACAAACCAGCTTACAGTTGAAGAAATTAGGAAAAGACGATGGAAATGGATAGAACATACATTACGCAAATCGTCAAACTACATCAACAGACAAGCGCTAACTTGGAATCCTGAAGGGAAGCGAAAAAGAGGAAGGCTAAAGAACATATTACGTCGGGAAACAGAAGTAGATATGAAAAGGATGCATAACAATTGGGAAGAGCTAGAAAGGATTGCCCAGGAGAGGGTTGGATGGAGAATACTGGTGAGCGGCCTGTGCTCCTCCATGAGGAGTAACAGGCGTAAGTAGGTAAGTATATATTCAATGGTTCCTAATGTTTAATAGATTGATATCCACTTATTACGAGAATCATTTCATCATTCAATATAACTCCAATTGATTACTTTGAACTGACAGATAACGAATATTATTTATCAACCGAGAACAGAATAGATTGAATGTTGTGTTGTCCTAATTTTGAAACTCCTCAGCAGAGCGCTTTTAAGACTTTAAACATCGTCGAATATAAAACTTTCCAACATCTTGGAGAGTACAATGCATTAAAACAACTAAGTTCACAACCCAAAATAGTAAATATTTCTAAACCCAGTTGACCTGTAATACAGATCCGCCGTTATCCAAATAACATAGGTGATATTTGGCTTACTGTTACATTCCATTTAATGATTACACTTTCTCACTAGAAATCCTAGAATCCTTGTTTGTAATGGGAACTGACTCCAATATAAACAGTATTCATAAGCATTTTACTTTGAAGAAATAATAATTTATAGGTCATTTATATTGCACACTAATCTCAATCGGAATACCACCGAAAGCCAGGAAGCTATAGGCGGCTATTTTGGCTTATTATGGGATCTAAACCGTTGGACTTGACTCCTAATGAGGTCATAGGTGCATAGTGCTAATGAACACCATGCTAGGAGAAAACAATTACCCAGTGCTCCATGGTTCCCATAATACATCAACTCAGATCAATCTATAACAAATACAACCTAAAAATTAAATCAACCTCCACAAAATTCCTCCAATGATAAAAAATAACTAATCAATACAGACAAACAAAAACTGCTCATTTTACTTGATGGAAAAAACTTGAAGTGCTTTTGTAATCAATTTATTATACACAACTTGTTTAACCAACTATACACTACAAACAAGTTAAGGATTATAAAAATTAGGAACAAAATAAGAAACCAAAAAACGAGAATGAAGAAAAGAACACCCCAATAATAACATGGGAGACGATAAAGAAACCAGTTTTTACTCAATAGTTACTGAGGTAACAAAATAATCAAGAGTAAGTCATTTGAAGGACAGGAAGAAAGACGGTAGGACAGAGCATATTATATATATATATATATATATATATATATATATATATATATATATATATATATATATGAATTGTTCAAGTGTAGGCAAAGGTGAAAAACGATTGGTATCACAAATGAATCACATTTTCTGATGTTACCTGGTAAATACAACAGATCTTAGTTCAATTGTCGATGAGAAATAATAAGTCGTGATACATCACGAGCACAAAAATATGTGCGACATGTTGGACAAGGTACGCGTCCAGAAAGCCATTGAGTTGGTGGACACCGCATATTTGTTTGTCTTGAAGCAAACCAACGTGCTAAGCATTCTAAACACCATAATGGTCTACAATAACATATACCGCATTGATTACTATCTAATGATTGATTACTATTAATTGCTGATGATGATGAAGAAGGGGTGAGTGAACTTTCGCACTGACGATTTAAAGTGACATTAACTTGTTGTACCATACATCCAATGCACTGTTCCAACTCCTTTAAAGGTATGAAAAAAGATAATAATAAAATATTCAATAACATAATTAATAAAAACCGAACGAATAACAATGAGTGAAACACTATCAAAAATATGAAGCGACAAATTAATAACCTAGTGAGCAGATATAAGTTGTCTGTGTACTAGACTTTGTACTATACTTATTATGTAAAAATAGATAGGATTTGACTTTTCGAATCAGAATAAATGAAGTATGATTGAAATCTAATATTTGATTAGTTGATACTTGAATCAGTCAGTCAGTCAATATTATGCAACGTAGAACTTTGCCCATATGTGTATCCGTTCAAGTTGCCACATCATAATCAGAATGAAGAGATGAATTGTAACAGTAACCTTTATAGCCAGTTAAAATAGTGAAAATATCAGTGGTAGTGGGAAACATTAAGAAACGAAAATCTGTTTCGAGAAGAAAGAATGAATTTGCTTGATAAAGTGTACGAGGTTATGTTAAAATTCAAGATCTAAAGGGAGAAAAACAGTAAGTTGATCTGCGCCATTTCAACCAATTCTAAGCCATTTCATTCGATATCTCCGAGCATTAGTTACCTTAATCGAGTGGCAGTAGTATGCACTGATTAATACGGTTTAGTTAAATAGCCAATGGCCTCACAGACTGATATTACTTTTTGATTTGGACGAGTTGAAATTCGAACCACACATGACAGGAAAATATTATGAAGATATATATATATATATATATATATATACTCTCGAAAATATTGAATATTTCTGTTAAAGTGAGTTTATAAAAATAATCAGACAAGATGAAGAATGACAGGGCATACGATATTTTTGGGAATAAAATGTTTAAGGATTAGAAAATGCCAAAAAATGTGAGAACGAAGCTATTTTCAAAACACCGGAATTTTGACAGTTTACGTTTTGCTGTTGAAATATGTTCATTCAAACGTTTTTTTAGATTAAAACAGCAGAAATTTTGTAAATAAAAGAAAACTTGAAATCAGAACACAACCGAAGGTAGCATATAAATTCTGATTGATATATTCAATCTATTAAATACTGATACAACTTTCGGAATAAAAATTGTTTACTGACATGAATTTAGTCATTCTATAAGAGACTTACATCAGCTGAAGAGCTATCGATGAATACGAAGCGATAAACAACAGTTTTGTTAAATTTGTAGACTCCTTAGTCATGTGAACTCGCAACCGTACTTATGACTGGCTCTACGAACTTGAGGTCATGCGACGATAAGGATACCTTTGGAATACTGGATGAGGTGAGGACTCTTGAATAGTTTTAAGTTGCAATCTGTCAGCTATTCAGTAGTCCCTGATTTCAGTCACTTTGTAACGAAAAGTAACTTCAAATAGAGAAATCTGCACACAGCATCTTAATAATCGAAATATACATATTACATTTAGGTTATACGGTAAAACTGTGTACATAAGGAATGATATACAAGTTTCTGAGCCAAACAATAAACTAGCCCTATTGTGTGAAGGTTATTCCCATCATTAGGCTTCAGAAACTTCGGCAAACGTAGAAAATAATTTAAATTCATTCCTTACTGCTTAACAGTCAGGTAACATAACCGACTGTCAAGTGCTTTGAAAGAATACTTGGCTGACGGAACTACTGTGGTGAGTGAATGACCGCAAATGTATTTTACTCGTGCAACTGAGCTTTAAACCTCATCCGCATAAGACACTGTTGTGATCTTTAGTGTACGAGAATTCGTACTGGTACTCAAGTTCCCAGTATTCGATGCAGAAGGAAACTTTTGTTCCCATACTCGTATATATATCCCCGAAAATTAAGCCATCAATTGTGTATGTCTCATTCCTAGGCAATGTAAGGCATTGCTTGACCAATCGTGCACACATCATTCGTACGATTTCTGATTGAACCCGTTGTATAAGGAGAGAGAGCTACTAGCTAGATGACTGAATGGTATTATTAGGAAATTGAAACTATCAATTATGAACAAAGTATTCAACCACGTTAGTATATATATATATATATATATATATATATATATATATATATATATATATATATATATATATATATATATATAATGGAAATGTTTAACCAACGGTCAGAATGAAAGTAACAAAAAAACCAAGGATGTTTACATTTTATTCACCATATTACATCATAGCACCAAGTTAAAATCCCTTGTACTTCACTGACATTTTTTTATTTCAGTAAAATTAACATTGAGGTAGGGCTAGACAAATATGACATTGATCAATGCTTAATGATTGATCAATTGTAAATATCTCAGTCCGACACAATGTTCATCACTATCAGGATAGAACACAGTGGTAACGTCTCAGAATGGTGAAACTAGGTGATTCATATTCAAATCCACTAGGGAATACCAGTTATCCAAATGATGTAGATATGTCCTGCTGATGAGTGTCAACCAGCATGTGACTTAGGTCGAAGATTTCTTGTCGACAGTCACTAATCATCTAACATCAATATATGTTTTATTCAAAATATAGGATTATGCAATACATACATTAGTTACGTACGATTGATTTCTTTCTGAGCATACCTTTAAACGAATCAACTGATACAAAAAAACATTCAACTCTCAACAATCAAGTAATTTGATATCCAACTGCTGAACTATTGTGTCACATTTATATTGAATAATCTAGTTACATTACTTATGAGTAACTTATTTTATTTCACAATTGTCTTGTCCGCATTTTACTGGTTAGTTAAAAACTCGAACAGTTTTTATTTGTTAATGTTCGATCATACTGAACTAGTTATTTTCTTTGCATTGTTTATGCCAGATATCGACTGATTTTTGCTGGTTTTATCAACACAAAATGAAGATTAAAACCTAAACTATTCTCTTCTAGATGTCCTGTTTTCTGGGTGAGATCGTTTAATTGTGAAGCCTTAAAAAAGTAAATCATGATGTTGTCTGGAAAGACAATGAAAACTTCACGATGGAACTATTTAGCTCAGAAAACACAGTGCCTGAACTACAAATACTGTTCATCCTTAATGAATGAAGAATTGTACAAATATCTAAGTAAGTACACTGAGTAGCTAAAATAGTATTTTGATTGTGTAAAGAGTAAATCAATACATAAACTTGTTTTGCTAAGGCAGGTAAGATGTTAGCAGAATTAATACAATTGACTGGATAGTTGGAGGGAAAATAGAGGTATGACAAGATTCAGCATAAAATTAATGTTTAAATTTGATTGAGCGTTAATAATTAAGAAGTATTTTGTTCATAGTTGTACACATAAAATATAAACAACTCACATAGCCAGCTGGTAGGTTTACCGGTTGATTTTCATCAACTACTTGTGTAAATGCTTCAATAAATCTTTGAATAATTGTTGGCTCTAATTGTACACCTTGTGCTTGTATTAAAGGGAAACGTAGTTTACTGCGTAACTCATCTAAATTTGATGCTGGTAATCTTGAAATAATAAATTGGAAATAATATTAGAAAAATTACGATTGATCTCATCAGTATAAAGTCTACTGAAAATACAAAGCGATATTTTTATTGTTGGTGTTAAAAGTTTGTAGCTCACGAAATTTATGACGCTTAGGACTATTAAAACATTAATTGGTTACCAAACATAGAAATCAAGTGTTCAAACGTTATAAATCACACGAAACTCAATATGTAACGGTGGAAATAATCAGAAATGAACATATTGAGCCAAATTAATTAAAGAAAAGATATACAAATTATGGTTTGATTCTGTTTCGAGTCAAATATTCAAAACAGCGTGAATTTGAATACCACTCAGGAAAAAAACATTATATTGATCAAATTGAAAGTAAGAATCGAGGAATATAAAGAATTGAAGAAGAAATTCGATTATGAACAAAGTGATCTTGAGTACTGTAAAAAGTATCAGAGTGGTTATTATTGATCGGTTCCTCACATGATATAAAAATACTCCAGCAAGATATTGGCTTAGTGGAGTTACGGCGTTTAACTTTCAGCCACGAAGTCCCAAATTCGAACCCCGTTTCGAGCAACCTGGAAGTATCATTAGTCTTTAGACTAAGTGTGGCTCATATCTAAAAGTACCTGGTGAATGATTTATTTACGTAAACTCACTCTATCTGCTGTCAGAAAACACCATCGTTGGAGATGACGGTTGTCAAAAGGAAACTTCTTACTGCCATTCCACCTCTGTGCAGTTACCAGTATAGCTTTGCCCTAGAAAGTTAAGTTTGGTGCTTTTACTCTTACTAACTTCCTCCAACTGGTCTGTTAAATACAAGATGTAAATGATTTTGTTTTAGCCAATTACCTCAACTGGGTCATTATGATGAACAAGTCAGACAACCACATCAAGGAAGCAGCTACGGTCTGGAAATAATTCAACACTATACATCTGAAAGGAAGTGACTTTGACTTTTATTCACCAATGGGAGACTTGAATAAATTAAAACCCCTGGGTTAACAACTTTCTGAGGATAACATTGAAAGTATCAAGATGAATCACTTCAGGTTGATTGAATCAATGCTGATACTAGATTCAATCAATCCATTAACCTTGTGACTAGAAAATTACCAATCAAAATAAATGCAGTGACAGCTTACTTACAATGTACACTTATTACTACTTACCCAAAACTAAGCAAACACACTCCTGTATCTGTACGTATAAATCTCACTGTAACAATTGTTTGCACACCGAGACTTTCTCCGTCAGGTTGACCACCTTGAGTTAGAGAGCTTGGGTCCAGCACTGAAAATGCTGAAACAACAACAGCTAACATATTTTCCGAAGATTGTTTAAGTATTTTGAATTCAGTAAAACGTGAAGTTAAAATCCATGAATCTGTGATAACAAATCGTCGACCTGACCAATTAGTTGATAAACTTCCTTGACCTGCTACGAATTTATCAGAACGTTGATATTCAGAATTTATTGAAGATATCAAAGCTTTTATACTAAAACAAAATTGAGGTTAAAATATGAAGTATTCTATAAAGCACTTTAAAAATTGATTATCATTTTATAAGTAATGTAAAAACTCGAAAAACTGAGTGAGTCAGGAATTTATCTGCTATCTAAATAATTTAACTTATTGTCCATGTACTTTAGGGAATGAAACACACTTCAACTGGGTGGGCTAATGATACTACTAGGTTATCCGAACCGAAGTAGGTGGAACGAAACTCGAGGCTAGGACTTAGCAGCTGAAAATTGAGCATCTTAACCACTAAGCCACAGTTCTAACTGTCCACGAATACAATACGTATCTCACTAGATAGGTAGGTTTGTGTTACGTTAACTTTTAAATACAACTTTTGGCGGATCATCGGAATGGAGAATTTCTTTGAAGTCACGAAATAAAACAATCTATTTCTAAAGTTAAAAATGCTATCATCAACATAGGAATAATAAGCTAACTTAAGAAATTAAGACTACGCACCAAAGTGCGATAAACATTACAAATTAATCACTATTTACAATCTATTTTAACCTAAAAGACTGGATTTATACTGGACTTCAACTGGACCGATATATATATATATATATATATATATATATATATATATATATATATATATATAATAAGCAGAGATGGATAGTGGCTAGCAGTGGAATCCAGGACGCGCGTTTCGTCCTGTTTGGGACTCGTCAGCTGGATGTACCTGCATCTCAGAGTTGATGTTCACTCTGGGACTCGAACTCAGTACCGTTCGCTTCAAACGCCATCGCGTTATCCACTTAGCTACTGAGTCCTGATAGCCACTTGCTTGTGCAAGTTTAATTCACTTGATATTGTTTTATTTGAATCTTCTCATTGATGTTTTAGGACTGAAGTTGATCAGTCTCTTATTGGCATATGTGCATACTGTGCGTATGCCTCGACTCAGTAGCTAAGTGGATAACGCGATGGCGTTTGAAGCGAACGGTACTGAGTTCGAGTCCCAGAGTGAACATCAACTCTGAGATGCAGGTACATCCAGCTGACGAGTCCCAAACAGGACGAAACACGCGTCCTGGATTCCACTGCTAGCCACTATCCATCTCTGCTTATAATGCTTGTAAATTAAGGCAATATCGAGGCATACGCACAGTATGCACATATGCCAATAAGAGACTGATCAACTTCAGTCCTAAAACATCAATGGGAAGATTCAAATAAAACAATATCAAGTGAATTATATATATGGGTGGGCATTTATAACATTGGAACAAAGTTATCAAGTCAGTTAGGAAAATTACATCAACACATGGAGTCACTGATTATTGGTCTAATTCGAGTTAAAAAAATTCAACAGTTTGGAAAATACCAGTAACATTAGTAAAGAAGATTATTTTGTATTTCAATCAGACTGAACCAGCTTCATTCGTATGGTAAGTGATATTTTGACAAAATAGAGAAAGCTTTTTTGTAGTTAATAAGTGTGATATTATTTGTTTAGCACAGTCATAAGACAACAATCATTTGAAAATTAGATCACAGTATATCAGCTGCATATCAGATTAATGGTGATCAGTTTTACCCTTAAGATTTGCTTTATTGTTTATTAATGAATTTCTTAGAATTTTTACACAATATACTAAACAACAATGCCGAATCACGTTCATACAAAAGAAAACAGGAGATGATAATTTCGATTTTTAAAGTATTTGATTAGTAAAATAGCTCTGAGTTAGTGTTATGTACGAGACATAATTATTTCTCTGAATGAGACTGCTTTATTTGAATATTTATTTGTGGGTGCCTAGTATAAAGCATAATGTAACTCTATTTCATACTATTTCTGATAATTTGTCCCTTTATTCAAAGTTATCTGATGAAATCAAGATTAGTGGTCTCTACAGTCATTAAATTTTAGAGTTAAACTGGACTCATATACCGAAGAAAACTTATACTTAAGATAAAATAATAAACTAGTGAGAATGGTGTGATTCAGAACAAGTTAAGGAGTGACTGTCACAAATAAGAATAGATTTATTAGTGTGAATGATTAAACATATTGTTTAAAGTATTTAATAGACAAAAAAAGCTTGACGTATCTCCGATTTCATAATAATACTATTTTCCAGTATTTTTAGATTAGAAAATATTGATATTATGAGATATATTTACGAACATTTACCTATATTTTATATTCCTTTTAGAATAAAGAACAAGACAATAGTAGTTTGTTTTTAGACGTCAGGTTAATAATAAAGTTAGATGGTATATAAGTCAGTCAGTCAGTAACAACGTAGAACTTCGTACGTACGTACGTACATCAGTTCGAGTTGCCACACCACCTTAACACAGAGATGCAGTTGTCGATCCAAATCCCGTAGTGGTAGAGGTAGCAAGAGTGTAAGCAGTGATCGGGAAGATTAGGGTTTGAAGATGTTATTTAAAGAATATAATTCAGTGCAATAAATTTGGAAAGAGGAAAAGAAAGGGACATGAAGAATTCAGAAGATTAGAATTTGGGAGAACACAAAGAGTGGATGCACCTGCGCCATTGCAAACGATTTTGAGCCATGTCATTCAAGGTCTCTAACCATCGGTTGCTATCATCTCGCGGTCCCCAACCAGGTAGTCTACACCTACCGACATGACTCAGTCCACTTGTCAGTGACTTCATGGACTTGTGCCATGTTTTGGTCTGGCCGCCCCTAGCTTTCTTCCAGCCTACTCCTATACCACTGAACATCGCACGTCGAGGCAGTCGGTCGTTGGGCATACGTAACACGTGTCCCAGCCATCTCGACTGATGAAGTTTCACCACTTCATCATTTGATTTGCCATCCGTACCTAGTACCCGTTTCCTAACAACTATGTTATTTACTCGATGGTCCCATGATATACGAGCAATGTTCCGAAGACACCTATGATCGAATACTAGTAACCTACGAATATCTTCTACTCTTACCGGCCATGTTTCACTGCTATGAAGTAGGACGGGACGAACTGCTGCGCAGTAAACACGTTCTTTGGTTGATAGACGGATGATATATAAAAGAATGGTCAAATGGACAATACACTCATTTCTACAGCTCTGTACTGCGTCAATACACAACGAACTCAGTGAAAATCTTGGTTCATCATGCTAAGGTAATTTGAGTATAAATCTTAATTTATTTGAGTATCTTTTAGCGATAAGTTTTGCTTGAAGACACTTAACGTCACAAAACTACACAATCTAATCAGGGGCTTTCAAGTCAGTAGACGCTGTTTTATGAAAAAACCACTATCAGTTCGCCGCATTGTATCATTCTGCACAACTAAATCACTATTTTAAAGGTCAAAATGTGGACAGTAGATAAAGTTTTGAATAGCATAACAATTTTCCTTAATTCACCAGGTATACAGAAAAATATATGTTGTAAAATATGCTTACGCGACACTAAATGCGCCATTTGACAAGGATGATGGTGCTGTGGATGAAGATGACAATTGTGAATCAGGTAGTGATTCCATAATAATCCGTTTCAACGATAAAATTGTTGGGTGACCATACCATGTACCAGATCCATACCAAACTAGGTAAGTATGTGACCCAATAACAGATAAACTGCCTATGCCAATCCATAAAATTACATCCCAAATTGTAAATGGAAATGAAATATTTGGAGCAGAAATCGCTACATTTTTGGACAAACACTGCATGAACATAAAATACACTACAATTTAGAAAAAAATAATAAATATAAACAAGAAGCGCAATAAAAATTGGTGAAACCATAATTAATGAAGGACGTTTGAGTGACGCTAAAGTGACCTTGAGAATGTTCACCTACTAACTAGGACTAAATGAGGATTATAAACCAGTGTGAAGAATTAGGATTATGATTTACAGTTGATGGTTAGGATTAGGAACTAGATTTAGGGTTTTTATCACGAACTGACATCAACTATAATGCCAAAACGCTAGTTAGCCAAACGGATGAATGAATTTCGCGCCAAAACCCAAGATCTGTTATCCTATACCCGATTGGTTCGTCCATAAATTATAGTCCTGCACCAAAATCTTAGAAATATTAAGTATTAACATAGATTATTAAAGCTAAATAAATGCTATGACGGGATAAATACTATGCGTAGTTGAGCTTTCAGAACGCCCTATATAAAGTTAATGTTTGTACCTTTGTTGTATGACTATTACATACTTAAACTATGGAATTTTATATTCTCCTACTTGTAAACTTTTTCGTGATGCGTAAACTGTTATTATGTATTGTGTCTTTATTAAGTTTTTAGTACTTTACTATAGCCCATTAATCAGTCCTATATAGACTTATGGTGTGATCGGGATTTGACCCCATATCAATGTATGAGTACCTTATAAATTTGAATTGTATAATCAGAAGCTATCTGCCTGAAGTCTTGTGTTCTATCCTGAATATTGAGCGAGCGAGTGTGAAAAACTAAGTTCTGAACCGATAGTCATTGTGTTATTCGCAGTTGTTATTTCACTATCATTGTCATTGGTACTAGATGGACAGTTTTGGCAAAATAATCGAAATATCAGAATAGATCAATACGACTGCTCTCTTATTTTACGGTTTGATCACACAGGCCCCAAAAATAAATAACAATAAAAATGTTTTATTTTTACCGTCATGTAAATGAAGGTAATAAACGAAGTAAATTATTTGTCAAATACATATCTGTGTATTCGGCTCTAAACTGTACTTGAATTACGTAAAGGCTAGTAAGGGTACCTAGCCATTTAAACAGAATAAGCTGACGACGAGTTGCGACCCGTTACTCTGCTTAAAGCCATACGCATTAACCATTAGTGTACTGAGTAATATATTTATGACCTTTTAGGATTTAAGTATAAGTAGACATGGTTTTTCCAATGATCATAGGTGAAAATTTTACAGATATCTAGTCGCATTTTTTTCACGTCATTTTTTTGAAGAATCTATTGAAAGAAACTACTATGGATGACAATTGGAAAGGGGTCTAAGAAGCACTAACTTTAACGTGTTAGGAGTTTCTGAGTCACAAGAAGCATCATTATAAGGATTGAATTTCTATCGAAACCCTAAACACGAGCCCCCCAAACGCCCTCGTACGGCCGAGAGTGGGGAGAGTCCGCTCTCCCTCTCGAAATACTCTCACACGGCCGCGCGTATACAGCCTCTGCCAGGGAAGTCCTACTCATTGCCTTCTCGTGGCGGGGGTGTTGTTTACGAAAATGAGAGGACAAAAAGCGAACGTCCGGCGCTTTAACCGGATCACAAACCAATGGTGCACATGGGCTCCAGTATCCTGTGGGAACAAATGGCGTATGAACCAATCGTTGGTCACCGGCTTCCATGGGATTGCATCTCCTCACGATGCTCCACTGCCTTGTGGGTTAGACCATTAGGTCAAAGGCTCGGGGTGTGGCCCCCTAAGATAACCACCTGCTTCGGTTTGGGCACCCGGGCAGTATCACAGCCCACACACAAACGATGAACTCTATGTCTATGGCAACTACTTTTCTCGCTCCGGTAAACAATCAATCGATTCAAACACGATTCAAGAACGGAAGAACAACAAGACAGCAATTAACAACAGCCAAACAAGAACAGAGAGAGTTAAGGCACAAGCTGTATACACAGTAGACAAGCAAGTGAAGAAGAGCATTAGAACTGACAAGCAGAAGTACGTGGAAGAACTAGCAATGACAGTGGAAAAGCTACAAGAAAAGGAAATATATGATTACTATACGATACAACAAAGAAACTAGTAGGGAAAAATTGTAAAACAGTCAAGGACAAAGGAGGCAAGCCAATCACTGAGACTCAAGAACAAAGGAACAGATGTGTAGAAAACATTGAAAAACTCTTGAATAGATCAGCTCCACTGAACCCACCGGATATCGAAGCGCCACCTACAGATGTCACTCCACCAACGATCGAAGAAATCAGGGAGTGCATCAGACAAACCAAGTTTGGCAAAGAAGCAGGCTTGAAAATATACCAACCGAAGCACTAAAGTCAGATATAGAAGTAACTGTAAAGATACTCCATGTTTCATTCAGGGAGATTTGGGAGGAGGAACAAGTGCCAACAGAGTGGAAAGAAGGATACCTCATCAAGATACCAAAGGAAGAAGATCTGAGCAAGTACGATAACTACAGAGGCATCACACTACAGTCAGTACCAGCGAAGGTTTTCAACTGAATGTTGTTGAACCAGATGAAAAACTCAATAGACACCCACCTTCAAGACCAACAAGCCGGATTCCGTAAGGATCGGTCGTACACAGATCAATTAGAGACACTACGGGTCATTTTTCAACAATCAACTGAGTGGAACTCGTCACTATACATCAGCTTCCTTGATTAAGAGAAAGCATTTGACAGTGTAGATACGAGAACATTATGGAACTTTCTTCGAGACTATGGTGTACCGAAGAAAATCGTCAACATCATGCGGAATTCGTATGACGGACAACAGTGCAAAGTCGTCCATGAAGGACTGCTGACAGACGCATTCCAAGCGAAGACCGCTGCCAGAGAAGGCTGTTTACTCACGTTCCTTCTTTTTCTTCTGGTGGCTGACTGGATTATGAAAACCTCTACATCTGAGAAGCATGGAATACAATGGACATCTTGGATGCAACTAGACGATTTGGACTTCGTAGATAATCTAGAACTTCTATCCTATATACACCAATAAATTCAGGTCAAGACAACCAGTGTAACAACAGCCTCTACATCAGTAGGCCTTAACATGCACAACGGAAAAGCAAGATCCTCAAATACAACATGAAGAACAACAACCTAGTCACACTTGATGGAGAAACTCTGGAAGAGGTGGAAACTTTCAAGTACCTGGGCAGCACCATCAATGAACAAAGATGATCCAATGCAGATGCGAAGGCAAGGATTGGCAAAGCAACGGCAGTATTCCTATAGTTGAAGAACATATAGAACTCAAAACAACTGAAAAATAACGTACAGACTTGTTCCATATGGAAATAGTGAGTAACTAATGCATTAAAAAGTTTTCATTGAGTAAATGACGTCCGGTGAGTATCTCTAGTTTGTGCTGACTATTATACAGAGGGAAACAACACAATAACCTTGACAGAGATAATTGATAACTCGATTTAGATGTTTAAACTTATTGCATACCAACCTATAATTTATTGCATGAGAGTTGGTCGTACATCCAGACTGCTCATTTTGTCTAAGTTGAGAAGCCATCTTTGAAAATAAATGTAGTGAATTAAATTCAAAAGTATTTTGTCCACGAAGCTAAACTACCATCTAACATCCTTTACAATAAATAAAATACATCTTAAAAGTCACCATATAAAAATAAATACATACTACATGAATGTAAATAAAAACGAAGATAATTAAACTTACGAAAGACCAAAGACGATGAAAATAATCGTATCATTACAGTTCTTTTTAAATGATACTGTACAAAGTATAGACTTTCATTACCAAGAAATCGATTAAACAAATTCTCTAATGTTACACCAGCAGAAATAAACTCTGTAGTTGGTGCCATAATGCAAAATACAAGAAGTCCAAATAGTAACGTATACAGAACATCAAATGAATCAAATGTTGAACTAATGAATAATGTATCCATTATCGATAAGGTAGTACTGTCACTATTCACCTTATTGTATTATGTTGTAATTACAACAGATAACAATGTAAGTAAACTATTGAGATAAGATAGGCATTGGAACAAATTGAAAAGTCAACTTCAGTTAATGATACATTTAATACCACCCACAAATTTGTATGAATTTTTCCTCAGATAAGAAATCTAGGAGGGAAAATACGTTTTATGAGTTGATAGACAATAAATTCATTTAAAAAAAAAACATGACCTTGCCCTACAAAACTTGGAAGAATTTTCGAGGTGCAAACAGGAAATTGAAGGAATAATAAATAATCATGATGATAATAAACCTTAAGAAATAAACCAGTTGATAGAAAGTTTTTATGAACTGTATAACACGGTTCCAGACAGGTGACGAGTTAAATAAAATCTGAACACCAAACATGCTTCAAGTATCAAAAGCTCGTTAATGTACAGTAAATGGTTAGACACCTATTTAAACCCCGAAAAGTTGAGTCGGGAGTTATCTCAAACTAAACCCAGCTTTATGTTGCAGAAATCTTAAAACGGATAGAGAGCTCGCTTTGCACTTGCAAACTTGTCACTAATAAGATGCTTGGCTGTATTAGATATGTGGTGACAGTGAATCCACTGTACTAATTGACGGATGTTAGACGGGTTTTAGCGAGGGAAAGATACGTGCGAAGTAGGTATTTGAATACAGAAGCTTTTCAACCATAGCTTTTGTTTAGTAGAAACATCGAGTGAGATTTTCACATTTAGTTTAAAGACTACTAAACAGAGATAATATATTTATTTTTTATTACGAACATAAAGACTTAATTGGCCTGTTCTGTTTAGAAATAATAGGTTCAAATCCCAGTAAGTTATATAGTGTAGAATTTGGAACGTATGTGGGTTAGTTAAAGCTGTCACGCTATATTAGGGCAGTCAGATGCTAGAGTAGTATGGGTAGTAAAAGTATTAGTGGCAATACAAAGGATTAAGTAAATATGTAATTTGAGAAGAGAACATAAATTTACGGAATTAAAAGGATGTTTTTAAGATAATTAAATAACGGTTTGAATTGACGCTATGTCGCTGTGACGCCATCGGTCGACTCGTTGTAGAGTCTATAATCCCTTCTGTTTGAAGATATGCATGTAGTTATGAACCAAGTGACGGTAAATGATGTCATTGAGTAGTCATTCAAGCGGCTTATCTAGAAGGGAAAACCGTTATATATATATATATATATATATATATATATATATATATATATATATATATATATATATATATATATATATATATATATATATATATATATACATATAGCTGGAATAGTGAAGGTATAGTAAACAGCCATACAGTGATAAGTTGGTATTACTGGACATGTTCAAACATCCAAATAACCGATTTAACAAAAACGATATATGAAAGATTAGGACAGTTCTTGTATACTCATTTGACGTTTATATCAAAAATACCCACTGATGTTTAAACAATCTGAACTTGATTCACATGTAACAGAAACAACCCCAGTATATAACAGTCTCATGTAGACTGCCAACACAATAATAGACCAGATTTGTTTTCAAATAGAGAATACTGAACAAGTTCAAATGAAGCATATACAAAGCGACTTAATCTCTAGGATACTTGTCAATTAATTACGACCAGAATAATGATCAAAAGTTTATGTGATTGCCATATATCTGAATATGAAGTTCTAGGCCTGTCACTGTTACCCATCTAAGCAGGGTTTTTGAGAACATGTTTTGCGGCCTCACACGCTTAATGTCCTTAATCTATGCTGAGGCTGATTCCGTTGAATAAGTATGCAACAGAGATGGAAAACAAAATGAAACATTGCTTATGGTCAGGAAGTACAAATGTAGTCTACAAGATATCTACATGTGACGCAATGGAGACTGGTATTACCGTATTTTCAAGTTTTATGGAAAATTACATGTAATCTTAACAGAAGTGATCCCAAGTGAAAAATCCTAAACGCAGTATCCGCCTTACTTAAGTAAGAAACAGTGGTGCCTGGTGCACAACGAATCAAATTGAACACAGTTGTATCTCCCAGAACAGATCAAGAGTCTTCATTTATCAATGAAAGTTGGGGATCCATTGATTAATCAGGAGACACACAGTATTGAAATGACTCTCGGCTTACCCTTATACCTTGTGCAGTATCTAATGGACTATGAATTACAGTCACTATATGTATTCTGTGAAACCAACTGCTGGTTTTATGACCGTTGAAGAATTAAAAAAGCTCACATTCGAGGTTGTATGTCTGGTAGCTATTCACATAGTACTCTTTTGGTGTCCTAGTAATCGACTTGTTTGAAAGGATAGCTGATACTATAAAATATCAGGTAGCTGAAAAGGTGAATATAGACAAACGATCTACCTGGATTACGACTATAAAACTTGCGAACGTACCTTGCGATTGATTCAAGTCCCAGAACGTCAGTGAACTATCAAGGTTAATGGGTGATGGCACCATTAGTTATTGAGCATTAGTATTCCCAAATTGTTCGCACGAATTTATAGTCATAATTCAGGTAGGTCGGATCTTCATATTTATATGAACTACGACGGTATACCATCGTAGTTCAGATATCGATATCATATATATTACTCCATTAGCTTGAAAACGAAGTGATAAGAGTGCACCTGTATCCCATTATGTATTGGCCTATTGTAGCGGTTCACGTTTAGCCAAAAGGTGCATTGTGTACTTAAGGGAGCATGAAGTGACGTGATTAGAGAGAGATGGGAAATGATGAAAGTAAAACCAACGGCCTACCAAGTGCACACAACGCACTTACATCAAATATGGAAAGTGATATGCAATAGTTAACAACAACACAGAACTTGGATTAAAACAGACTGGGGATCGACACTGTAAGCAAACAGTTCAAAAAACTAACGTAAGGTCGTCAGTTAAAAATTGAGCCATTTTGGTTGAACATTTTTACGAATAGTTGAGTGTTTACCGGATCCTTTGAATCTCTTACATTCACGCACTCACATCGTTGTTAAATAGATCGTTTATGTGAATAATCGTCTTAACTGTTGTTCATTTTTCCTTCTGATCTGTCGCGATTACATAATACAATTCGATACTTCATACGTTTAATTCGCTTTTTGACGAACTGACTTCGTTACTGATCAGAAACTATAGTTCTGACACAATAGAAAATAGTGGAAAAGTCCATGCGTGTCGAAATATGCTCGTGCTAATGTAAGCAAGCAAAGCGTGGCAGGAATTAACCCGTATATATTTATATGTTTATTACGTAACAGCCGAAAAATTACATACAGAGTGGTTTTCGCAGGGTTTATTATAAGTATTTTCACACGCATAAACATAATGTTTGTCAGATATTTTGGAAACTTTTGGTTTTGGTTATCTTCAACACAAGAAGAATTGAAATTGTAAACAAATAACCATAGAAAATAGGAGACGAGAAAAAATGGACGAGATTATGGAATGTTTTACACATCATAGTCGTTTCGATTCTCTATGAACCTCAAGATTCTTCTAGGGCACGTCAATTTAGGCCAGTTATCAGACACTAACGAAGTCTCGTTATGACACTTGGTGATTGGAGTGCAGGGTAGCAATGGAAAATCCAAACTCAAACTGATATCCATGGTTTTAGTTCAATGAGGGTCGTAATTTGAGAAAAATCGTTCCACGGGGGTTTTGGCCTTTGTTTCAGCAGTAATGTCCTTTTTGGGTACTTATTTTGACCATCAAGTGAAACGGCCAACACATTATCCGTTTGGATCTGGTAATCATCCATCAAACCAAGATGAACATGGTTGAGGTTAGCATCGGGAGTTGTAAGACAGCATAATAGAATTCATTGTGCCCAGTCACATTAGGTTTCTGGTACCATACACTGGGTAGTCCTAATTCACGTCTTTATGCATACTAGTTCAGCAAAATCGTTCTGCTATGAGCTGGATGGTCACTCAAACACATGGATTGGAAAATTGATGCAAAATGTTCAGCACTGTGTCGATAATGTTTCGGTGTGAATAGACGAACACTACCCATAGATTTGCCACGAAACGATTCCCCTTAACCGTAGGGCATAGAAGGAGATTCGTCAGGTTGAAGGGGTATGATGCTGTCCATTTTTGAAATGTCCGTAACCAAAGGAATTCGTTTTCACTCCCCAGCCAAATAGACTTTTGAAATGATTATACTTTTCAAGCGAGCTGTTTACTCGCGGAATTGAGGCAATGGATAGCGATTGGGATTGAATTTTATGTGCAGTTGATTGACTTCAGTCTAGTGCGGTATTAGTACTACCACTAAACATAAACTTAATCCCAAAATTGTAGATCTGTAATCATGTGGCTATCTGACCTATAAGTTCTTACGTGGAAGTCCTATAATTTCTGCACTACCTCGTTCAATTGTGGTGGTCAGAAATATGATGACGAGCACCTCTGAGTTGGGAAGAGAGTAATATATTGTTGGTGATGCTAGATCCTCAGATGTACGTGTCTTATATTTTTTATTTTTGGTATTTGAACCCCTTGTTCACATCGTATTTCTCACTTGGTAGGACCTTCAATGTTATTGGTTTGTTGTCTTTTATAATATGCTATTTTGTAACGTTTCCCAAAGACATTTTTATGCTATATATATGCCTGAGTTGCGCTTGTTTTTGTCCTTGCTTTTGGCTGATTGTGGAATACATTTTCTATTTTCTGAACTCAGACTCCTCTCTAGTTAGCAGGGCTGGAACGCATCAGAATACTTAGCTTATCTGGTTATTCTGTGACTTAGTTATTCCGTTCACAGAATAGGGGGACTCACAATCTCTTCAAAGATAGCATATATTTGATACAGAAAGTGAGAGGTTAAGAAGAGCTACCGCACCTGCAAGACTGAGCTATGCCATTTTAATTCATTGCTCCTACATTCATCATCGTGGATCTGTTCTTTGTGTTACATGTGTTTAGAAACCAATTCCACTAGAAGGTTGAAGATATTCACCACTACTGCGCCATTAATTGCTGTTCTTTTTAGGGACCATATGCGTAGATGTCCATGGGCTTTACGGTGCATGGATAATTCTTGAATCTATCATGTGATGGAACCAACTTTTGGCAAGACTAACGTACTCAACAGCTAGATGGGACTTTTCTTTGGTTGTCTCTCTGAGTCAAGTGTATCAAATATACGTATCCAAAGTTTAGTCTCCTACTTGACTTATCTCCTTATATACCACGGCAAATGTAGTCGAGATTTGTACCTTATTAATATCTTTAGATGAAATTGGAGTCACGTTAGTGAGCCACAAAAAAGGTTAACATCTCAGATATTCATGGTTTGGAGATACTTGTTGCGGAAATAAGTTAAGGTGTCTCAGTCTGTCTTCATAGGATATGCCAGGTAGACCTTTTACCATCTTAGTCCCTCTTCGTTGGAACTGTTCCAGCATATCCGCCTCACACTTGAAACAAGGAAACGCTGCTAGAATCGCTAAATCCAAATGTGGTCGCACGTAAATCGCGTATAATGATCTGAACATTTCTTCATCCAAATTCCGGAAAGACCTACGAATGGACCATAATACCCTAGAATTTTGGCAGCAGCAGCCTCACAGTGACTAGTTGTTTTGAGGCCGTTGCTTATAATGACTTCCAAATTTTTTTTAGTTTATTTGGGTAACACGAATGCACATATTATATAGTGATACGAATCATCGTAGCTATTTAATTGCATCACCACATTTGTTAAGATTAACTTCTGGTGACTATCCGTTTATCCATGCCAAAAATGAGTTGAGATCATGCTGTAACATTATTGTGTCTGAAATGCTGTGTATGGGTCATCAAACCTTTATGTCATCGAAGAAGGGTAGAACGGAAGATTTTGCTGCAGTTGGTAATTCATTCACATAAAGTAAAAAGAGAATAGGATCAAGGATCGTGTCTTGGAGATCTTTACTTCTTGCGGGTTTCCATGCTGAGAGAGCTCCATTTACCGTTACCCACTCTCTCCTATTATTGAGAAAGTCACTTATCCAGTCTATGAACTTATAATGGATTCCAAAACTTTCCTGTTTTAATTTAAGACCTGAATTGGGGACCTGGTCAAAGGTCTTTTTTTATCTACGAAAATTACATCCACAGGGATACTGTGATATTATAGTATGAACTAAGAATCCCAGAAATAACGTAATCGGATCAAGAAGTACTAGATAACCACGAAAGAATGTGCTGTATTTATAATTCGAAATCAAGCATTCAACAAGTACAAAGGTATCCTTAGTTCATTCAAACACCACAGATACTTCGATCATTTGTCTCAGCCCAATATCCTCTTTCAGTTAGCAGATTTGTCAAGCATTACAAGCCCTTCCGAAAACTAGATTGTCTTATAGATAAAAGATTATACACTTCCACATAATTTATAACAGCCATCCCAATAGTCTTTTTCACTAGTTTAACAAATGCAATGATAAGACTAATGCGTCAATAGTTACTAAGCTTCCACTACTCGCCTTATACACAGAACTAGTTATTGTATCTTCCCAGTCTCTTGGCAGTTTGGGCTAAGACGTCCCGATCTAGTGGGAAGAAAAAGAGTGGACATATTAAGTCCAAAATCATTTCCTAGCATTCTATACTTCAAAATCAGATGACTTCTTAATCTACGATACGACAGAGTAAGGAGGTCTAGCTTTTCAAGTTGCTCTTTGTATGGTGAACCCCAGAGTTCTGGAATCGCACGGGTAGCTGCCCTCTGTACTTTTTTCAGGATATCCGAGTCACCTTTTAAATAGGGACTTGCAGTCCGAATGCAGTAATCAAGCTTATTTATCACTAAGATTTTGCATACCGTAGTGAACATGATTGTATCTAACTTCATGTATGTCCCTTTTAAAGCCCATAGGGTTCTAAACCCCTTAGCTGCGACCTCCCGGCAATGGGCCGTGGTCTTAAAATCATGATTCACTGTCACCTCAGGATACTTGTGAGACCAGACCACGGGTACAGGCACTTCCCCTATGCTGTACCCATTTAACTTTGTATCCCCAAAATGCATGTAGATACACTTCGCCGCGTTGACAGGCATCAGCCGCTCCTTAAATCAGTTAGTCACAATATTTAAGCCTGCCTGAAGTGCTCATGTATCTGCATCTCCCGTTATTTCCCGCCAGATTTTCGAAACGTCAGCCTATAATAAAATTTGGAAGATAATTCCCATGCAGTATAAAAAGTAAAGGACCTAGGACAGAACCTTGAGGTACTACACTAAATATTGGTCCCCAAGTGAAGCACTTTGAATTTCCTCTTACCTTGTGTCTACGACCTACCACGAAATCCTTAGTTCATTTTTAAAAGAGGTCTGGCAACAATAAGATCTAACTTCAATAGCAGTCTATTTGTTGGCACTTTGTCAAATGCCTTACTGAGGTCTATGTAGACAACATTCACTGGGTTTCCGTTGTCTAGAGCCTTTGTCCACTACTCCCTTGCTATAAGGGGGCCTGTTGTGCAAGATAAACTTTTTCTCAAATCATGTTGTTCGTTGTTTGACTAGCTGTTGGTTTCCAGAAATGTCATTATGGTCTTTTTGACTATTTTTTTCAGTATTCTAACCGCGACACTGATGAGGCTGACAAGTCTGTAGTTCGATGGAAGTTGTCTTGGTTCTGCTTTGTGTATGAGAGTGGGAACTGCATTCTTCCAGCCCATAGGTAACACACCCTGGTCAATTGACTTTGGGATTTAATTCATGCAGTCCGATCGACTTTTCCGTGTCTAGGGCGCTAAGAGCTTTAAGTACGTCGTCTCCACCAAAGTCGACTGTGAGCAGGCAGTTTGCTGACTCTGCCTTTGTGTCTGGTTCTTTGTCTAGAAGAGGTTCTTGAATGAAAACTACCCCAAAATAGCTAGTCATAGCCTATGCTTTTTCCTGATCTTTCTCTATCATTTCAAATTCACTCTCTTTAATTACGTTGGGAATCCAGTGATGTGTCCTTGTTCTGTAATTTATGTGCAAGAATAGTCTCTTAGTCTGCTTGAGTGCAGATTTTACCGACTGCATTTCAGATTTTCTCTGAGCCTCTTGAGTTTTCGTTATAAACTTGTTTCTTACCGTCCTGTAGCGTTCCATATTACTTTCTGTTTCAAGGCTGGTGGTAATGTTTCGACATTTCTTCTTTTATTCTAGTAAACACTGAATATACCGACTTATCCAACGATGGCCGTACTCCTTCGTTTTTGGGACTGTTCAGGGTATGTACGGTTGAGTAACCCGATTGTATAACTGCCTGAGATGAGTACATGCCTCTTCTACTGATGCACATGAGTCAATTTTTCAGTTTTCGGCTGAATCTACAAGGTTGATTGCCTCCATGTTCGCCTTCCATATGTTAGGATGAGCCGGCGCGACTGTTTGACAGGCCATCTCAGCCATGAACTTGAATAAAATGACTTCATAATGGGTTCTCCTTAGAGGTTGTAGGAAAGTCATTTGACCGAAGTCATCACCGCGTGTGAAAACTACGGCCAAGAAAGACGATGGGCTTTGCAAGTCATATCTGGTGGGATCTCGAATTAGCTGGAATAAAGCTAGCGAAATTGAAGTTTCTAACAGTATGCGATCAAATGATGTTTTCGATTACCCTACTTCTAAGTTTACTCAGTTTATATACCGTGAATTAAAGTCACTTACTATAAAGCTTCTAACCCTATTACATAAGGACTTAAGTTTGCTAAGGAGGGCGTCATCTACTACACATTCTGGATTGAGATATACTACGACTAACTTAATATTTTGCCGCCTACATTTCAGTATGAATGCACCAGATCACATGTCCCTGGATCATGTGCCACTGACTCCACAGTTCGTATGGCTAAAGTACTTTTCATGTACAGGATAACCATGCCTCCCCTACGGTCTAATATATCAGCCCCACGTGGTGAAAAACCAATCAACTGAATTTCATTATCAGCCAAATCTGACGTTAACCATGTTTCTGAGACAGCAAAAATGTCCGGTTTTTCTATAAACACCATTGTCTTGACTTCCGCTCTTTTGTTTAGTAGGCTGCGAGCATCTGAGAAGTACTTCTCAATTCTTTAGAGAACTGTTCCTTACCGCCCACAGTGGTTTGGGGATCGTTTCGCTCCGAACTTTTACAATTTGAAATTCCCTAAGTACGAGGTATATTTCACCGTTTCGGCAGCGCTCATTTATTTTTACTTCTGCAGTTCGTCTCTTAATAAGGTCAATCACGCTGAGATCCTCACGGACGTATATATCGGGTCCAATCAGTTTGCTTGAGTTTCTCAGTATCAGATTTATTTCTTCAGCCGAAGCAAAATGTCCTTCAAGGAGCGGCTTTTCTAGGTACTTTCAGAATCCACCTTTATTCCTATTCTACAAAACATATAAATGCTAATTCCTGAAACTGTTCATGGGAGTAGCTTGCTTATTGAGGACTTAATGTGATTGGGGTCGTGATCAAATCTAGCTTTTTGTTCCTTTTCGGAAGATTCTCTTAACTTATGAAAAATGGCTGACCTATCAGCGAGGTCCGTGTTAACATGTGGAATTTTACTTCCTGAAATCATCTCTTCCATGTAATTCGATTTTGATTCGGCATCTAACACAGAGGTCACATTCTGTTCCCTTGCTTTTTATCTGGGTGTGACTGTGAGCCAATCATTCACCTTAATGTGTAGAAATCTTAGACAGAGGAAACTCCAAAAACACCATATAATGTTTAGAAGCCCGGCACTCAGGTCAATCAGCAATCAACAAACATATTGAACTCAATTCAATTTATCAACCAATCAGGAAAATCATGCATAAATATAGGAGCAAAAATCAAATCAATGGGAGACACAACCAAAACAAAGAAGTAAACAACGATAAATTTAAGGTCAACAAGAACCGATCAACATCGAGGTGCACAGAACAAGCTGTGAAACACATATGGAGAAATTCGAACAATTCACTTCTATCTGAAGTTTGTGCTGATGATGTCGTTCAGAAGAACGATGAAAGCTCCACGACCAAACCATCCAGCTCAGAGAACAAAAGTTCACCAAAAACCTTAATGTGCTTCTCGATCACATCCTCTACACCGTTCAGAATATGCTCCCTCCTAGTTTCTTTTGCGTTGATATGTGAATCCAGAAATGAAACCGTCGATTAAAGTACATTAACGCAGTCTATGATCAGTTCATTTTCAACGCGCTTTTCCTTTTTCCTTGTGACGATGCCTATATCAGTATGCTTGTTATTTGTTTCCCCCTCGAAAGTGGAATTACGCTCATCTACTGTCATTTGTTTACCTGAGGGCAGTTTTCTAGTTATGCTTAGCATCTTAGGTGCCTCTAGAATCAGCAGAGACTTTGAAGAACAACATGCTTTGCACAGCTAACGTGATAATGGTTTGCGACACCTTTTATATACAGCCGTTGCACACATTGTGATACCACTTATTGCAGTTGTCACATTGCATCACATCATCAATAGGGAAGTAGTATGCAGGTCTGGCACAGCGATGAAGCTGCAAACTTGTTTTGTGATCTCATAGCGAGAAATGATCTCTAGATAAAATGTCTTTTAAGGCTTGATAGGTGATAGACACGGAACACAAAGAAAAACGGAGGTTTGTATATAACTTTACCTAACAGCAATAAAAAATCTGACTCCATTTGCTATAAAAGACCTTGACAATTATGGATAAAAACAATAGTAAAAGATATATTCAACGCGGAAACATAAATACCAGTGCCTTTAGTTTTTTGTATATGTGCAGGAAACGTGTATATGACAAACGTCTGTAGAAAAAAGCCGTTGTAGCGGTAAATAAAGCCCCAAACTAAATAGCTCTGTAGGTTTTCGACAATGGATGCTGACCGTATGTTTTAGTGGACTCATCTAGCTGAAGGCGCTCGGTCATGCATCCGCACCAGATCACGTGTGGTAACGCTGTGCTCAACATCTATCGCAATCGCTAGCCAGATTAGATGAGAGAATTCCGATATATTGGTTATCGCCAAATACACTTTTCCGATCTCCTCGACTCTGTCTTTTGATTTCTCTCGGTGGGAACAAAGTATATTAGAAGGTGTTACTGGTAGAAGCGTTGTCAAACACTGAATACCTGTATCATCCTCACCGTACTCCTGGAGATTACTTCAACTGGAATAGATTCGGGTGCGGCAAAAATAGCAGTCCTGATGAGTAATTTGGCGATCAATATTAGGAAATACACTCAGAGGAAGGATACCGCTTTCCTTTTCAAAATAAAGCTAGAGTAAGGAAGTTGCAACAAAAACTATACTTTGATGTACAGAACGCAACAAATTAATGCCAAAAATATTCATCAAGCTGTAAAAATAAAAGTTTTAATCATTCGAAAGGATTAGAATGACCTTAACCTTGAATAAAGACCGCCAGAATCGTTTGATGCGATCTGGCTTGCCTTCCTCGTCGTACTCAATTTTGTGGTATGTTTCAGCCTAATTCAAGTCTCTAAAATACTAGATCTTATTCCTTATTTCTTCTTTGGCCATGCAACGTTTTCCTTAAGTTTGTTCAAGTGTGTTAATATGTGCCAGCGTCGGTAATAAAATAGGTTAGAACAACCATTTGTTATCTTTTACAGATGTTGCTTTTTGTGTCAAAGTTCCTTTGTACATGGTAAAAAAAACTCACGCCCACTATGTCAAAACCCAGCTCCAGAAATGTCTCGAGACAGTTTCTGCCTGTTGTTGATCAAGGTATTTTTGCTATTGTAGGTTTTTAAAAGCATGTCTTACAGTATAAAGATTGACCTTTACGCATAATTCTTGTCTTGCAAGACGGTTTAAAATCCCTTGCATTTCAAGCACACTGACATCGTAATAAGAGTCTGTATTATAATCCACTGGTCAAATAGTAACTGTGTGCTCACACTTTCTGAATATGCTGATATTAAGTCACTTCGGTAACAAGACAACGAGTGAGCGGTTTGTAAAAGTAATAAGATCTTGGTTACTCGGCCAAGTCTGAGAAGTTTAATTTGGGACTGTTGATGATGCAGACGAACTTAACGCCATTACAATCAGTATTTTTACTGCTCTAGCTATGAGAAAACAAACATGTCGGTTTTGATAATATTTGTATCGCGGTTTATTTTCCTGGTTCCTCAATCCGAACTTTAGACTTACGCGAATTAAGATTATTCTTGGGATGGCTGAAACAGCAAAAGACTACTTTAATGAATAGTTTCCAGTGTGTACTTTTAAATACTTTGTGATGACATTAGTTACGTAAGTGTTGTTACAACTTATAGTCTTATTACAACTGGTTTTTCTACAGTCAGGTTTCATGACAGTTCAGAAAGTTTGTCACTTAATATCTTATACTATTAAAAGATTAGTTCCTGTTTTATTTTTTTTTGGTGTTGTACCTCTAATTGTAATCTGAATAAATTGAAAACTGCACAAAGACAATGCAGTTTGTGTGGTAGTATTCAAGATATTGTAAATGAACTAATAGATTTGTTTTTCGAATGTTTTTACAATGTTTTTTTGCTGTTAGTTTCATGAAATTCTAGCTACTCTCATTTATTCGTAATATCGAGCTTGGTTCCAGTGTGCACATGCTTGTTCTGTTATAACAAGATGGGGAACAAACGGATCGAAGCAGTGGCAAAATCAATAATAGTTGGGAGGACTAAAAGTGGATGTTAGGATTCCGGAAAATAAAGTGCGTACGCAGTTTTAAGTTTGTAAAGTAATGTTGAAAATCAAGATTCAGATAACGATCGAAATTGGATTCGTCTCTATTGTTGTGTATGGCTGTGAACCATCTCACCCAAAGCATTTGACTATTCACTATAACTATCTTGTGAATCCCAACCAGGTAGTTTGTAAACCCCCATATAACTCTGTCTGGCTGCCAGTGTCTTCGAAAGTGAATGATGTCATATTAGTTTGGTTACCTGCCTATAAACTAGTCGCTATTGAGACCTTAGGTACACTGTAATCTGGCTTAAGTGACATACTTTCTAACCACCTGAATTGAACACGATTTTACAGCCTTAATAACCGACTTGTATAATTTACATAGTACCATACATCTAATGCCATCCTCGTTCACTATGTTAAATCAGAATACATGGACTATGCCTCAAAATACTAGTAGCTCATATGTTTTCTGTCATTTTAGAGGCTATTTTCCATAAGAACTAAGAGAAATAATGGATTACACACAATAAGATCGTCACAATATATCGGTATTTTGCGCAAATCACAATTGGTGCAAGTTAGCACAGTCAAACGATCGTGCGTAGACGGTCTTGGTATGTCTATCGACTGAAAATGAATCACTCTGAAAACTATTCATTTTCAGTCTTTACAAGCTAAATAAAACCGCTCAACTCTTTTGGCATACATAATCTCACATAGAGCATAAACAGTCATAGAATATAGACTTTGCAGATCGTTCACTGGTCAGTTAAATTATGATTCGATTATAAGATCTAATTTTTCCCACCACAACAGGCTTTTTGCCATACTTAAATTCGGGACATCAATAGTAAATTACCAAAAAGGGATCTTAGGAATTGAAAATTTTTTAAAAAAACAACAAAGGATTAAATGAAATTATATGAAAGTATACCATTGTCGACCACTTCACTTATCTTAGAAGTCTCACCAGCCCTTGTGGTCTCGTGTGTGACGAAATCTCAGCACGGATACAGAGGGCATGACCTGCGCCATTTATGGCGTAGGCGAGATACCCGCCTACCAGCCGAAGGATGGGTTTACTGCGCAGCAGTTCGTTCCGTCCTACTTTATAGCAGTGAAACATGGCCGGTAAGAGAAGAGGATATTCGTAGGTTACTAGTATTCGATCATAGGTGTCTTCGAAACATTGCTCGTATATCCCGGGACAAGCGAGTAAGCAATGCAGATGTTAGAAAACGGGTATTAGGTAAGAATGGTAAATCGTTTGATAAAGTAGTGAAACTTCATCAGTTGAGATGGCTGGGACACGTGTTACGTATGCCCAACGATCGACTACCCCAACGTGTGATACTTTGGAATGTCGGAGTGGGTTGGAAAAAATCTAGGGGCGATCGGACCAAAACACAAATCCATGAAGTCATTGACAAGTAGACTGAGTCACGTTGGTAGGTGTAGACTACCTGGTTGGAGACCGCGAGATGATAGCAACCGATGGTTAAAGACCCTGAATGATATGGCTCAAAATCGTTTGCAGTGGCGCAGGTGCATCAACTCTTTGTGTTCTCCCAAATCCTGATCTTTTGAATTCTTCATGTCCCTTTCTTTTTTTTCTTTCCAAGTTTATTTCACTGGATTATACTCCTTGAATAACATCTTCAAACCCTAATTTTTCGGATTATTGGGGTGCGTACATTGAAGGCTCTAATGTGTAGTGTGGAGCGAGGTTTCAGTAAACCCGGGACGGTGTTTTGAGCACTAGAATCGTTGGCTATGGGGACACTTGAGGGGGAAGCCGAAAAAAGAAGTTTAGAGTTTGAAGTTGATGTAGGAGGAATAATAGGAATTGAAAAGGGAGGTTGATTATGAATCCAGTGGTCTTGAGTGCTGTTAAAGGTATGAGGGCGGTTATCACTTCCCGGTTGCCCACACCGTGGAAGGGTTCTTCTGGAGGTACCTGAAAAGGAAATCGGATTAGAAGTGGTCTTAGTGACCTGGGAGCGTGACCGCAGTGCCCAAGGGACAACTGCTTGAGGTCGGTCACACACGACCTTTTTATGGGCAATTTTTGTGTTAGCTCCGTACTTGTTGAGATCTTACCGCCGGAGACGGATATCCGTGGGATAAGGCGAGGTGTGCATTTTTAGGGTCGACCTTTTCTAACCCCACCCCTCCTTGTGGGAAGGCAGCATCGCTGTCATGCTGGTTGTCTGAAGGAAACACCTTACTGCTGCCACACCTCTGTACAGTCAGCAGTACGACTTCGCCTTCGGACCTTGGGTTTGTTGCTCTTAGTTTTAACCGCTCTTCAACCGACCTTTCTGACGTGGTAGGACCTTGAGGATCAGTTGTTCCAGTCAGTATAGCTCGGTTGCTTCATCACGATAGGCAAGCCCGACCACCACGTCAAGGTAGCAACAACAGTCGAGGACGAGTATACTGCGCGGCAGTCCGTTCTGTCTTACTTTACGGCAGCGAAACATGGCCTTTAAGAGTAGGAGACACCCGTAAGCTACTAGTATTTGACCACAGATGCCTTAGAAATATTGCTGGCGTCTGTTGGGATCACCGGGTAAGTAATAGTGAGGTTAGACTCTGGGTATTAGGTAATGATGGTAAATCAGTTGATGAGGTTGTTAATCTTCATCGACTGAGATGGTTGGGTCACGTGTTACGTATGCCTGAACACCAATTACAACGACGCTCAATTCTGACTAGTGTTGGGGATGGTTGGAAGAAAGTTAGGGGCGGCCAAACCAAAACGTGGCATCAGTGCTTGAAGTCACTAACTTCTGGTCTAACTATGTTGGTAAATGCAGACTACTTGACTACCGTAACCATTGGTTGGAGATTCTTGGTGACATGGCTCAGAATCGATCACAATGGCGTCGGTGCATACACTCCCTGTCTTCCCTTAAACTATGAGATTAAAATCGCTTCATATCTTTCTTTCTACGAACTAATTCTATATTCCGGTACTGTATCCTTATATGCAATCTTTCTCCTATATATTACCACCCTTAATCTAACCACTCCTATGAATCCGGTGTTCATCTTGCTGTGCTAATGAGGTATGGCAACCTGGACCAATGCATATATGTGCCTGGTCCTACGTTGTAGCTGACTGACTGAATTTTTCTGATTACAGCTTATAAGTTTACTACCTCTACCACTACGGGATTTGAATCGATAACTGAATCTTTGTGCTAATGTGGTGTGGCAACTCGAACTGACGTACGTACAAAGTCCCACGTTGTTTCCGACAGACTGATTGTATATTACTGACTTGAAGGTCGAACAAGTGCATTTAAACTTCTGTAATATATTTGATCAAAATCACTGAATAGCGAACTTTTATCTCTTACACCATTTCTGTCAACCATTGTTTATTATATACTGTCCTATTTCAGTCTTTCCGTCTCTTACATCAACGTATATTTTACAGGATAAAACAACGCTGTGCAATAAATGCAAATTAATACACTTTCTTCGGTTGGTTAGCTGAAATTAATTAAACAGATGTATTAAAATATACTGACAGTGAACTAACTGTTGCGTAAAAACGTTTTTCTGCTCCGAAAGCATCAATTCTACAAAAAACTCATTTTAAACTAAAGGTGAAACTCAGCTCTAATGGATTTTATTGATTAACTGAAAGTATGGATGCTTAAAAACTACGACTTCACTTTATACCATATTGCAGTAGTTAACAATGGATTTTCGCGAGTTGAACAAAATCAAGAAAGAAAATAAAAAGGTTTCCGTCTGATTGACGTCATATTTTACTCTTCAGAAGCCCATACTTGTAATTAAAGATCGAAAAACTGTTCTGTCGGCTTTGGATATTCAAAAGTTGTTAGGCTTGACGATTTTCCCCCAACATTTCGTTAAATGGCCTGAGTAAGCTTGTTATTTGTTTATGTTACCTGTCTAGTTGGTGTTCAGTGACCAAGCCCTCGTTCATCAAGAATATTGTTCTGATATTTATTAACAGAGTAAATACTCTAAAATCGAACGAGAAATACGGACAACAGTTTGCTCTGATGTTTGGGGAGGTAAATCTTTTAACATATCCATTTTCTTTAGCCACTGAAAATATTAAATCCAGAAGCTTATAAGTATACATGGGACAGAGAAATTTCTACTGTCCCCAGAAGTTTCCTCACAACTCACGCAGCAGCTATGGCGGGTATGTTTTCTACCTCGTTGCATATTTTTAATCAATTATGACCACTGACGAAATATTTTTTAAGTTTAGGTACCATGTCATACTTGTCTATCTAACTTAACTGCTGTCCCGAGACATCTGACCCATCCTACTAATAATTACCGTTCTACCATTTTAAAATGAAAAACTAATTTCACTATGCTTTATTTGCATTGTGCTCAACAAGTGATCAGTTTGGTCCGAAACGTGTAGCTCCATACATTTTAATATCATTATCGTACCCCTTATGTGAAGTTTTGTAGTAGATGCTTTACGAGGTCAATTAGTTGAGTTGTTACATTACAAAATCATACATCGTTATTAAAGAGAGTGCCATTAGGTTTAGGATTCATAAATGTGGTTGGTTCGTTTGATTCTTTCGCACATAAATCCTGATACTATTGAATTACACTTATAAACATTTAAACGTAATGCGCTTGATATTTTCAGTCGTCCGGCGATTACAGTTATGTTTATCTTGACAACGAAACCTATGACAAACTATTGCATTCGCCGTAATCAGGGAAAATAGACTCAATTATTGATGGTAACTTATTGTGGTTAAACTTTGCTCCAAAAATCCTATGGTTCAGCTTTGCTTCAAATCTAAATGAAAATCTTAAGATCTCCTGGATACTTGTGATTACATAAAGCTCCTCCAGGTAATTTTCGGAGTTATGGCGGTTTATAAGTTTTTTACTCCAATATTAAATAATTTGAAATATGTTGCTGGTAAAAATTAAGAACCATCACTTCTCTCTGGTTTGTAGTGGTTGTTTGAATTTTCCCGTTGATGTTTAGGACTGCAGTCGATCAATCTCTTGCCATATGTACGTCCTGTGTGGGTTTCCTTGATATTATCGTCAGGATAAAAGCTTTATAAGCAGGAATGGATAGTCGCTGGCAGTGGAATCCTCAACGTGCGTCTCGTCCTACTTGGTACTCATCAGTTGAATGTACCTGCATCCCAGAGTTGATGTTCACCCAGAGGCTCAAACTTTGTGCAGGTCTCTGATCAATTTCAGTTCAAAACATCAATAGAACGATTCAAATAACCAATACAAGTGAATTAAAATTCGCCCGATTATACAAGTGAATCGTTATCTCGAATCAGTGACTAAGTTGATAACGTAATGGCGTTTTGAGTGAACAATAGTGGGTTCGGGTCCCGGATTAAGCATCAACTGTGGGATATAGGTGTGTGCAGCTGACGAGATCCAGATGAGAAAAAATGTGTGCATTGGATTCCACTCTCAGCTATCATCTGTCGTACCTCATTTAATTGAAAGTTTTTAACTTAATTTTCTTTCAGTAGCATATAATTCACTTAATTATGCTATAAATATTTGGTTAAAACTTTGTTAAATTTTGTTGACATTTCAAAATACATTTGTATTCTGATACTTCCAGTTTCGCTTCAATATGTTGGTAATTTCTATGCCAAATCTAAAAAGACAGTTCATATGGACTGAGAAAATTAAGGGTAATCATCAGTGATACTTTCGATTTCTGTTAAATAAATCTATAATTTTCACTTACTTACAAATTAGTGTTAAACATATAGGTATGTTATTATTGACCCTGATAGTCTTTTCAATCTCCATAGAAATCTGGAAGAAAGGAGGGGAAGAGAGAAAATACCCATCGATAACTCAAAGACGTGTATAGTAGGAAAAATCTTTTGATAACCTAATTGTATTATGTAGTAGACTATTCAATAGATGTATACGTATAGTATATTCTTTTTAATATATATGCCTTTGTTGAAAATCACAGCATCCATCCAAATATTCCTGATGTCTGAATGTCATTTGGTTTAATAGATGGGGATTTATTTCATAACGAGTGAAGAAGGAGAAAAGCAGCTGTTTATGCTGTTTCCTAAAGTACAAACAAATATAATATATTAATTCGGTATTTGATCATAACCAGCTAGTTTTATTTCGAACACCTAAGCAGTTTTACGCCATGTGTTTATTAAAAAGACATCTCTTAGAAAATGGATTAACTAGAACAATAAGTCAATCATACGTAATTTTCAGTAATGCAATCTTTAGAAAACCTTTAGTTACAAATTGGATGGAATATTGCTAGTTTTCTTAACTGCTTTCTGTGGCATTAAACATTGTGTCGTGGAAGTTAATCCTTGACATTCAACACCAATATTCAAGTTGCTCGATATTACTGTGATAGTCGTGAACTTGTTGACATTTCAGTTGTTAATTTTCATGGTTTACTGGGTAGACAGAAAAACTTGTATGGTAGAAACAGACTGAGAATTAGTTGTCTGTCACTCTATAATCTAAAGGTAATCAAGTAGACTCCAAAACCAGTTAAAATCTAAGTTGGAAAAATTTATCATATTTATACTTTATTTTTCGACGGGAGTTGTGATTTCAAGGGTGATACAAAGTCGAAGCATCCGTCAACGTCGTTCTTCGATAAAAACATCGAACATATGCGGTTTTTTTGTTTGCTGATTCACTATCCAGATAACTACTTGTGGACTCAATTTGAGAAAGTCGTCTATACATACGATTTGAAAATAACAAATAGGATTCGGGAAATTATGTGAAACAATGAAACAGCTAAGTGGAGACTTTAAACGATGGAAACGGTACAGATATATCACTTTAAACGAGAAGTATTTTGAACGACCAATAAGTGGTGTAACATAAATTTTGTAAAATTATGTTTTTATAGACACAGTTTGTCCATTTATTCGACAAACCACTTATATGTTTATCCCTTCCTATATATGGTATGTCTAAAGATTCTAGTTTTTTCATGAAACTATACATATGACTAGTCTAATTTCCATATCCAAACTATAATTTGACAACCTTGATATTTTTGATTTCCCTGTTCAAAATAAACTTGTAGTTTTCCATATTTTCTTTTTTGTGTTTGTGTGTAGATTTAAATAAGTCAATACTAACTCCTGTTCCCCGTCGCACGTGGATAGATGATGAAAATACTATTGATAAAATGCGTATAATCAAATCAGTTCATGAAATAACTAAAGAACAGTTACCTTCACAGACTACTAATTCTACTTCTACTACTACGACAACTACTAATGGACCAGTAGAAAAACGTACTCTCAAAAGAAAAGCTGATAAACTTTTTCCATTACCTATACCAGGTACACCTGATGCATTTGATAGAACTTTACTGATTTTAAATGTTGAGCAAATGAAAAAAGAAAACGTTCCATTACCTAATGAATTATTAATCGACCAACGTAAATACTTCAAAAACCGTTCAGATTTTGTACCGAGTAAAGTAAGTTTCTTTTTTGATTGTTTGTGTGTTAAAATGCAGTTCCCTTTCAATCATTCATCATTTACTATATCTGTTAAAACTTATACACTACGTTACTGAATTTTTATTAATTTTGGGTGTTAGTGGCTAGCAACAGAATCCAGAACTCACGTTTCATCTTTTTTTGGGACTTCGCATCTGGATTTACTTCGATTCTAGTATTGATATCTACACACTGAGATTTGAACCTACTAACTTTCTCTTCAAACCCCGAACACGTTATGCACTGAGGCATTGAGTTCAGATGTTCAGAATACACATTCTTCAAAAGGGACAGTTCAATAGCAGTCCGTAATATAAGCACTTCAGTGGATGTTTTACATTTCTTTCTGTCAAAATGTCTAAATTTATTGTGCAGAGTTTGCACGCAACGATTTACCAATGATTACTGAACTGTTTGGGTTTTTTCGGTACATATGCATTAGATACCCGATGGTAAGTAATCAACACCATGCTGTTTGTCCAACTTGTCTTGGTTGTCTACATACCTTAACTTATGGGTTGCACTGGTCAAACTTAACTTCATTTCATGAAATATGAGCAGACAACCGTCATAATAGACATAACTTTCCATAATCTATCACATAAAATTGTGTATACTAAAGATGTGCATAAAACTATAAGGTGTTTGATATTATGGTTCACCCCTAACTAATCATTGGTTTGCACTAATTCTCTGTGTTCAAAACCACCTGCTGTAAACCAACCATCTGCTTTTACATTTTCCCAGCTGTATGATTTATCTTAGTTGAGTGTCACTCACTAATCAGGTATATGTTTGCGTACTTGAATTTTAGGTGTAAGCACCAGTAATACAATGCGATCGCGCGAGCTGTATCAAGAGGAGTTGGATTTGTACTTGTAACTCAGTACTTTGAAATTGAATACTTCAAACAAGTCAACCAATCCAATTTATGGAGACAATAAATATTCGAGTTAAACAAATTTGTATCAAAAATAAATAATTCACAGCCTTCTTTGCCTGATTTAGGATTAACTAAGGTTTGAGTCATTCTTATTGTTAAGGTATGTCAAGAGATTGGAAACAGTCGGGAGTAAAAACCATATTAGTTACCACTCGCCACACTATTGGGGGGTTTGGTGTTTCCTATGGGGCTCGAACCTGTGCTACCCAGTTTCAGTCAGAAAAAATTAGTGTTAAGCTATTTGAACTGCAACTGACTTGTAGGATCGATATTCTTACATCGGTTGATTCAAAGAGCAGCGACCAATCTTACGTCATCCAGAGTATTTAGAAACTTCAAATATATATATATATATATATATATATATATATATATATATATATATATATATATATATATATATATATAGTTTTTCCACCTATTAATTCGGTTACCCAAGTTCACTTCCCTTGTTATTTATGAGTCTTCCCGCTTGCCTAAGTGGTTGAGCAAGCATATAAGAATCTTTTGTTTTTTGTATCGGACGTCGTCCAATCTAACAAGTATTTCTTAAAAGAAAAATTGAATCATATTTCCATATACAAAATAAATGATGACCCATGCAATCAGTAAATTAACATTATTTTCCTTTAATTTCCTTATATTATCATTACAGCCTGTATACCTTCCTGTGTCAGCCAACAGCCCAATGTATGCAGTAGACTGTGAAATGGTACTTACATCCGTAGGAAGTGAGTTGGCTCGAGTGACTATGGTTGATGAGAAGGCAACAGTTATGTTCGATCGTTTAGTGAAACCGCCAAATCCTGTTAAAGACTATTTAACTAAGTAAAGTTATTTATCTTTTGTACAAGAAGTCGATATCTAGTTTGTGTTTACCGATTATATCATCTTTTTGTTGTGCGCCATACAATAACATTAATTAGCCATTAAACTGATCATTTTGAAAGTTGTACTTTTTAAGAATATAAGGATATTATAGAAGTATTCACAACCTATTATAGTTTAACACTCAAATTCTTAGTAAAATTATACTTAAGATAGCGGCTGATGGGTTTCTTAACGAAAGTCAGCTTATATTTTATTGACAGATAAGTAATGAATGCGTAGAAAACTAGTGAATATTCAGTTGTGAAAACGTTTAAGATTAATAAATATGGAAAGGTTAAAGAATAAGAACCATAATTTATGAAACCGTTAGACTAACCAAACGGTTATTATTTCATATCTAGGAAGCAGCTAGATATGTGTTCATTAGTATACCTACAAAAAGTTCTTTAATTCTGTTCCTGAAAATTACTCTTAATTCAAATTCCTAACACAGCTATTTATTCTATCATGTTCATAGTATTCCCGGATTCACTAACATTTTAACATATAGAACAGATGGAGTATAACTAGTAGTGAAATTCAGGGCGTGCGTTTTATCCCATTTGGAATTCGTCAGCTGTACACACCTACATTCTGCTGTTGATGTTAAGTCCAGGACTCGAACCCACTATTGCTCGCTCAAAACACCATTACGTTATCAACTTAGTCACTGATTCGAGATAACGACTTACTTGTATAATCGGGTGAATTTTAATTCATTTGTATTGGTTATTTGAATCGTCTTATCGATGTTTTGAACTACAATTGACTAGTCTCTTTTGGCATATGTACGTCCTGTGCGGACTCCTTCGATATTCCCATCAGGCCGCAGGCATTATGAGCAGAAATGGATGGTGGGTAGCATTGGAGTCTTCGATGCACGTCTCATCTTACTTGGTACTTGTTAGTTGAATGTACCTTCATCCCATATCTGATAAATTACGGTCACGAATATCAATGAGATAATGCAAACAACCAGTATTTACATCGCTATGGAATTCTCATAGGATAAATAATCTATATATTGATTATTATTGGAAGAAGTAGTATTTTCCGCTAAATCCGACTGGAATTAGACAAAAAGCTCCTCAAGCGATGTTTTAAAAGTCTTAAACTATGTAAAGTTGAGTCCGATACCCTGGTATTAATGGCTGATTCTCAAAGCTACTTCACAATTCTCTTCAAATATCTCAAGATTTCGTAGTGTCACCATCATTTGGAGCTGCGATCAACTTCCTGAGATTTTATTGTCTTCTCGAAGCTGAATTAGAACGTTTTTTGAGGGTCGGGGGAGTTTAATTTGCACTTCTGTTTTACGTGATTTGATTTCCGACTCCCGTCGATCCATAATGGTATACTAGAGGTTAGGCTTTGGCACGCGAGACCATCGGTCCTGTGTTTAGTTTCCGCATGTGGGGTCGTTAATGCCTACTTCTGAGGAGTCCCACACTAAGACTAAACAGTTGTCCACTGCTCCCAGGTTTTCAATGACGGTATAACATTGATCAATTCATGATTTCAACGAAACAGCTCTTCTGTTAACCAGATTGTTACCTAATCTTTGGTCTTTTTGCATTTTACACTATTTTTTGATTTCAGATTCAGTGGAATTACTAGAGAAATGCTTGCATTAATAGACACTACACTGGCAGATATACAGCGTGAATTAGCTGAAACGTTACCAGGAGATGCTATCTTAGTTGGTCATTCGATTGGAAATGATTTAGAAGCCATGAAGGCAGGTGAAATTCTCTTTTTTAAAAAAATTAGTGAATTACTGGTTTATATAAAGAAATAAATTCTAAATTTTTGAACCAATTACTGTCATACATTGTACATCTGAGTGAGATCAAACATGTAAACCATTAAATCTCGTTTCACTAGTTTAAACGTTAATTGCTCTGTGCAGGATAGGTAGGTTCTGGGTTCGATTCCCGGTAATATTATCAATGCATCGTGTTGACGAGTTCACTGATTCCTCATTTTTAGTAGTTATCTTGTAGTGGCTGGTACTGTGTCAAGCTAACACCGGTTATTCTAGCTTCTAAACAGACCAATTTATTTATTCTTTTTGAGTCACATTTAGACTATGTCACATATTCGCTTATTAACCTTGATTGATTTTATGTGAATGTGTGTTAATTACTTACCATAATCATTGCGTGTCTGCACCTTTTTTTTGTCTGACTATAAATATCGAGTCACGCTTGATCAAATCGAGTTATCTCACTCACCTTCTCCGCTCCGTTTCTTATTCTGAGTGTCCGGATAAACGAATGCTTGAAATAAATTCCTCCAACACAACTCGTATTTGACTTCTTATTACCACTGTCACACAAACGGGGTTAGCCTAGGTAATATACGGAGTTAAATGGAAGATTTATGTTCATAGCATATTCATGCGTTCGTCCAAATCGTAGCCAGATCAGCGGGCTAAAGAAGTCGAACTATGACCAGCCTCTGGTACAAACTATTAGCATAAAATTAAGCTTATCAATTTTTGCTAATGTTCAGAATTAATTTGTAAATATTCATTGGGTTTATTGTTTTAATACTTCAAATGTTCCATCTAATTCATTAGTGAAATAAATACGCTAACATTTTACATTCCTGTTCGTTATAATCAACTTTCAGTCAACAAAATCTTATCGATCAAGGTTCTAGGCAGTTTGGTAATGTTTGTTTTCTTTTTCACACAAAATCTCAATTTATCATGTAGGTTGGGCTATATGTCTTAGAATCAGTTACAAAGTAGATGTAGATCTATTCATTTTTGTCATTCCTTAGATCTTGAGTTATAAAATTATCTGATCCTTTTCATTACGAGAAGTTACTCCTTTTCTTCTAGAATCATCTTGTCTGTGACTGTTTTCCACTACTACAGTTAGATAGAAAAGAACTTGTAAATTTCTTTTCGCTAAAAATTGCTGTTTTTACTTAATTGTTTGAATAATTTCAGGTTTTTCATCCGTATTTAATTGATACAAGTGTCATCTATAATCTGAAAGGCAATAGAGCGGCTAAAACACGTCTTCGATTTCTATCAGAACATTTTCTTGGGTTAGTTATTAGTTTTTTTATTGTTCTGTCACACTAAGTAATAACTCATATATGTGTTCATTTTTGATAGAATTCTTTCGTTGATTATCGGGATTTCTGTTTGAAAAAAAAAACAACAGTAATTGTAGCAGAATAAGTATAGAGTCAGTTATTTTGTGTACCAATTCTCTTTGATCCACAGTAGACGAGTGTACATAATTTACTATCAGGTTTATGGAAAATTATTGGCATAAAGCTTGTATGAGGGCTGTTCAGCTCCCATAGTTGACATCACGAACTGACTTTTGATAACCATAAAGGTGGTTCCCGAAGTTCCAGTAAAAATTCATGACCAGTGAAGTCCAACCATGTCGCGTGTAAAGTAGTTTTGGAAGAGAAATTAGACTATATCGCGAACTAGTTGGAGCTAGTGATGTAAACCATTGGATACCGACTCATTGGTCTAAAGGTCAAGTGCTTGCTGCGAGATTTGAAGATCCTTGGTTCGATTCCCGTTAGGGTCGTGAATATGTATATTGTTGAAGAGTTTCATATTTGGACGAAAAAGCACTCTGGTTTTTGGTATTTGTCGAATTAATGCCAGTCAGTGGTGTAAATTACAGAAAAATTCTAATCGAGAGCAGAGATGAAATATTTATGTAGAATAGTGAAATTGTAATAGCTGTGGAAAATACTTCAACAATTTTCCATGCAGTTGATTATTTTATAGGTTAGCTTTATGGATAATCTAGAAGGAAACGGAGTCTTAGGAAAACATTACTTTTCTAGACATGGATAGTTGAGGCCATAAGTTAGTTACTTTTTTCCAACTACAAAGATTTAAACTCTCAATTGATTGATTTTATTGAATAAATCAATTCAAAGAGTATTACATGCTCACATACAACTGGTTGAAGGGGCGAAATCCAACTAGTAACCAAAATACTATTTGACATAAATATTGTAAGTACCTTCTAATACAACTGAGCGTATTACTTAGTAGGAGTGAGTAAAACAAAAAATGTTTAAGGTCGTCAAACCAAGAACTAGAATCTATCTTCGAAGTAAGTAGTTGCTTATTTGACTGCGTTATGTCTGGAGTTACAGATTTCCTAAGACGAAATCTAATTATTAATTGTTTTTTTACTGGTAATCTTTGTTCATATAGTTAGATACTGGTATTTTAGTGATCGAAGACTTGGTAGACCTTAGTAAAATATCAAAATCATACATTAAGCACATCATTGGCATATATTCACTGGGTTTTCTTTTACATACTTTTTTGTTCTTCCGATCCTTTTGTTATTCCTATTATTTCTCGTTTTCTTTCCCCTTCTCTTTATTCCAATCTTCTGCTGGCAGGCATTCCACTTTCAATTCATGTTACATACTACTTTTATCTATCGTCGTCAGTAGCACGCGTCACAGCATCAATATTAATATTATTTCGACCCAGTTCATTTTATTAATATATTCCCCGCTATACAATAAAGAAATTAGCTTCATAGATTGATGTATATCACAAATGTATTGAATTCATATTTCTAGAAAGTTTTGTTGTGTTCTAGAGAAATTAACCGTTGAGACAGAAATAAACTTCAAGATCAAAATCATTTGGTAAAAAATTGGTGTTACTTCAACATTTCCAATTGCATACATTTTTTTTTGTTTTAGACGTATGATTCAAACTGGTAAAGGAGGTCATTCTTCCGCTGAAGATGCCATTGCTACAATGGATCTGGTGCGATTAAAATTAAGCCAAGGTAATTAATTATCGTTTGTTTTTGTGGCTAGATTATAATTTATGGATGAACTAATCAGATTTAAGATAACAGATCTTGGATTTTGGCGCGAAATTCATTCACCCGTTTGGCTAAATAGAGTTTTGGAATTTTAGCTGATGTCAGTTCGTGATGAAAACCTTAAATCTAGTTCCTAACCCTAACCATGAACTGTAAATAATAATCCTAGTTCTTCACACTGGTTTATAATCCTCATTTAGGTGAACATTTTCATGGTCACTTCAGCGTCACGCAAAGGTCGTCCATAAATTACAGTGTTACCGTTGCTGTTGCCTATTTTGTGCTTTCGTTTTAAAAACAAAATTAAATGTTTTAAATAGCAGTATACTGTATGCATTAATCAGTCATATTTTAACACGGAGGTTATGGGATTGCTGTTTTGCATGGGGTTTAAGACAGTGACGGATACCTAGGTTATTGTGAGCTGAATAAGAATCATTTCGGTTATTAAGATATTTAAAATTAATGAAAGGAAATATGAAAACTATGACTAATGGACTAGTCTTTCTCTTTTGATGGTAACTTCAAGGTTTTTGACATTTAAAATCAGAGGACTAACAACTCATTCATGTTTCCCAAGAAAAAAGTTTTTCTACAACAATATTCGTCATAACCATTGCTTCTAATTCTTATTCTATGTCCTGATTCTTTCTAACTTTATATCTTGAAACATCAACTCTGATCAATCTGATTTTTTAACCATAATCTTAACTGTAGTCTTTTATTGGCTTTTCATGTAAAAAATTATTCATATGTATCACCTACGTTTTGATAAACCAGTAATTCTCTACTTTCTCTAATTCATCTCCTATTTATTTATTTGAACACGCAAATGTTGGTACGAATTGGCACCGAATACATATGCGCCACGCAAGTTACTTGATTTATGTGAGGGCTGTGATACTTACCGGGTGCCCAGGTCGAAGCAGATGGTTTTCTTAGGGGACCTCCGACCTAAAGGTCTGATCCGCAAAATAGTGAAGCAACGTCAGGAGATGCAGTCCCATGGTAGCCGGTGATCAATAATTGGTTCGTACGCCATTTGTCCCTTCAGAATCCTGGAGCTGATGTATACTATTGGTTTGGAATCAGGGTTTTCCAACTACCCTAGGTGGATCTTCCATATCCGCCACCTTTTTAAAACGCCGAACATTCGCTTTTCATCCTCTCGGTTTTGTAAACAACACCCCTGACGCGAGAAGTCAGTGAGTAGGACTTTCCTGGTAGTGGCTGTATACGCGTGGGCACATGAAAGCATTTCAAGAGGAAGAGCGGACTCTCCCCACCCTCAGCCGTACCAAGGCATTTATCACCCAACTGGGGGGATTGATTCCCCGACCCTCACATGAAAAGTCTGATGCTCTATCGGCTGAACTAACCGGGATCATTTTCAGTTAATAAATGTTGTCAGTGTGTGATTTCTTCTGATTAAATAAACAAATAGTGTGTAATTCAAAACCGATATACAACTTTCAACGGTGTTTAACGTAAGCCATGACCTATAAAAGTAATCAAGATGAAGGTTGATGGTTTTATGTTCAAAGCATTCAAAATTTAACCATTAAGTGGCGGGTTCAAACTGCAATTAATCTATTTCGGTTTGAGTAACTGTATGTATCACTAAGATTTATTCAAACAGACTTAAGGCCCAGTACATAAACATGCACTTAGACTATTACTCTCCGACATTGTTGATTAAGGACCGTGTTCCATTGAAAATGGATTTTAAATGAAGGGTGGAAACTGTTATATGTTATCACAATGGTATCATCTATACCATAGGATACAAAAGTTGTGAGTTCAGTCTCATATGGAATCGCTGAACTTCATTGCTGAGGAAGTCTAAAACCATGACGAAAAGCAACTGTACATACCCATTTGATAATAGTTGATAATAAAGTTTGTTTCTAATAAAACCCAGAATTGTTTAAATAACATTATTATCTTAAATTCGACTTATTTGTTTATGTATTGAGTTCATATTTGTAATTGTTTATTTGTCTAGATATTGGCTTTGGTGATGTAACTACATCTTGGCGTTTCCCAGAAGATTACCAATCGCCAATAGAAGCCAAGGTATTCCGAATTTTTATTTATGTGTTGATGTTACTATGTATAAGTAAGATTATTTTATCGATGCGGTTTCGAACACAGTTTCATCTAATTTGCTTTTGAAAATCAAACAGTACTACTTATTAAGTCTTTATTATAATGCGAATAAGAGTTAAAACTGTCTTTATTGTCAGCGTTAGATTAAAAATATATTTGATCACGCAACAAACACCCAATAATTTGACCGTTTAATTAAGAACCAGATTAGACCAGAATGAGCGTTTATCGACACAAATACAGAACAATCAGTAAGTGGAATGGATTTTATAAGATAACCAACCTCCTGTATTTAGTGTGACTGAAAGTATCCATATCTTCAATCGTTGACCAATCACAGGTCACTCTAACTAAATCTATCAGACTTATTCATAAAGCGCTGTTTAAAGCTCCGAGTATATAGACATCTCTATTTGATTATTTCATTTCCCTATTCGGTTTATCTCAATTTAAACTAACGGATATAACTAATTGTCATTATTAAAAGTGTAGCACCAAATAGAATGTATTATGGCGACGGAATTAGTGAAAATCGTTAATTCCAAACTAATAATCTTTAAAATTCTGAACCAATAAATAATATATAAACGAATACTGATTATTTTTATTCTGTAAACTGAATTTTCAAGTCATCAACTAAATTAGATTTCAATGGTTAAGATCATGAGTCAGTTGAAGCTATACCACCATGGAAAACCTGGAAGCACTGGATGGACGTTTCGTCCTAGTATGGGACTCCTCGGCAGTGCGCAGGGGGCAAGGTCGTGGATGCGCACCGCTGAGGAGTATCAATCATTTTGTTTACAAAGTAAATTTCTGACAGAACAATCTGTGTAGTTTTTGTTTTACCTTCTCTCAATTAATTGCACTCATAAAAAGAGTTTAGAAGGAATATATATATATATATATATATATATATATATATATATATATATTGAATACTTCTTTTGGTAATTCATTTCTTGAAACTAAGAGAAAAATGATTTGTTTACACCTTTTTAAGTCTGCTAGATTTACTGCATTAACAAGCAATAAACAAAACTTAAACATCTCTGGTTGTTTACAGCAATACAGCAATACTACTGACGACAATAACCTTCCATTTATTTCATCAACATGTAATGATTTATTAACAGAAAGTCAATATTTTGAAACTCATCCAGTTTTTCAAGATCATCTATTAAAATTATGTTCATTTTATAAATCTTTGGGTAAACCAATTCACTTGTTTAATCGTTTACTACATGATTCCGGTATAACTTATGCTTATTGGCCAATTTATCAAGAAGAAAACGACAAAGAACAACAACAACAAAGAGAAGAACAAGAGAGGGAAAAGGAATCAGTTCAGCATATTACTACTGATTCAAAACATAGCGAAATTTTCATACCTATAAATTTTAATTCAACTGATCATCAAACAACTACTACTGATAATGTAAACACAACAACAACAACTACTACTACCACCAACAGTGATGAACCTACAACAACATTGACAGTAGTCAATAAGATTTCGAAAAAATTATCAAATTACATCGTTGATTTGTGTAATTCACATAGATTAGTAATGATACAGGCGAATTGTTCGCCTGAATGGGATAAAGAAGTAAGTTGTTCAATATATTGTACAGTTTTATTACTATGGAGCGTTTGTAGATGTGATTGAAATTCATGGTTTACATCATCGACCAATCTTAGTTAGATAATCATTGAAAACCAAAAAAAACTGAGTAACTGTTTCGTCCTAGTACGGGACTTCTCAGCAGCGAAGCACATCCATGACACCCTAAGAATCTGAACACTTAACCTTTAGACCGTTCAGTTGCCAGTTAGCTGTTTACATGTCTAACTTCACGCATTTCACGGTTTTTATTCGATGCAGTTAAAATGTGATACGACTTAGTACTCAAATAATATGCGCTACAGAAAATAACATTTGTGAGTCCTTATACCGAATCAAGTAGTTTTCGTAGGAAGCGTCTCCTCAAGCTTCTAACTTAAAGGCCCAGCTCACAAAGCAGTTGAACAACGCCAGATATTGCTGTCCGATGGTAGTCAGCAACTACAAATTTTTCCCTTAGGATTCTGGAGCCAACGTACACCATTAGTTTAGAATCAGGATTTCCCAGCTTTCCCAGGTAAAACCTTCGTATCGACTAAACAAACACAAAATAAGGTAATTCGTTAACCATATATACATCTGTGTACTCGGTTTCGAATCACCAGACTACTTAGCCATCTTACAATGCTACTAGAGGTTAGCTGTCTCACATGGTTGGAGTTTATTGGTCATAACTTCTTCCTACGTCCCTGGGATTTATGACATATATTCCGATGGTAATGGTAGACGATAGATTTGATAGTTGATCTGTCTTTTCAGCATTAAATGTCAACCTACTTTTATTCTATTTTTTGTTAGGAATCAACGTCAAGGACGCTACCCACCAGTGTTCACGATCATTGCTTAGGCTTCTTCTCAGCTTGCGCTTAAGCTGACTCCGCTCTTCGTTATGTTCAGAGCCGAATGGGATGAGTTTTAGAGCATCTATCGGAGCGGTAGATGCTGCTGAGATCCAGTGTTTCTCCCTAACCTTGTGGTTTACTGTACTAGCAGATGTCACTGCTGTTTCCACAGCTTTTCGGATATCATTCCATGCTGCCTCGGGGTGGGCATCACATACATGGCTGCCTAACTGTTTTTCTAGTTGTTTCTGAAATATACTCTTAGCTTGACTATCATTAAGTAGGGCCCTAAGAGGTTTCCTTGTAGTGTCTTTCCTACGTCCAGTAAGACGCAGGCTAATACGCGCTCGCACTAGAGCATGATCTGAATCTAAGCATGTGCTCCAGAATGAGCGACAGTCTTCTACCGAGTCCTTCCATCGGTGGCTGATAGTACTTACTTACTTACTTACGCCTGTTACTCCTCGTGAAGGAGCATAGGCCACTCACCAGCATTCTCCATCCAACCCTGTCCTGGGCAATCCTTTCTAGCTCCGTCCAGTTGTAATTCATCGTTTTCATATCTGCTTCTATTATCCGACGCAATGTGTTCTTTGGCCTTCCTCTTTTTCGCTTCCCTTCAGGATTCCAAGTTAGGGCTTGCCTCGTGATGCAGTTTGACGATTTGCGTAATGTATGTCCTATCCATTTCCATCGTCTTTTCCTAATTTCTTCTTCAGCTGGAAGTTGGTTTGTTCTCTCCCACAGAAGGCTATTGCTGATGGTATCCGGCCAATGGATGTTGAGTATCTTGCGTAGACAACTATTTATAAATACTTGTACCTTCTTGATGGTGGTTGTTGTAGTTCTCCAAGTTTCAGCTCCATACAGTAGAACTGCTTTGACGTTGGTATTGAAGGTGGCTGATAGCGATGTGATCTATTCGGGTCCAACGTTTTAGACGAATTAGGGGGTCGCCATGTTAAAAGATGTTTTTCTTTATGCTTAAAGATAGTATTTGCAAGAAACAGGCGGTTATCTGAGCATAGCTGCAACAGACGGTCGCCATTATCTGTTCTTTGAGCCACGACACCATAAGATCCACCCAAGTGTCTTTCCCTTTCACTTAGTTCACCTACTTGAGCATTAAAGTCACCAGCCACTATTACTACATCAGAGCGCCTAGCTTTTCGGAGAAGGTCGAAAAGCTTTCTGTAAAACTCGTCTTTTACATCATCTGAACTGCAGTCAGTGGGAGAATAGGCAGAGACGACGAAGAGGCAACGACGAGTGTCCCTATTTTTTCGGATCCTTACTGTTCCGCTCAGTTGGACAGCGCACAACTGACTGTCTACGGGGATCCACTCTAAGAGAGCTCAATGCTATACCTACGCCGGCGAGGCCACGGGAAGCAGAATCAGGGCTTCCAGATACACGAAGTGTGAATCGAGTCGGTTCTTTATTTTGGCATGGTGAGGTCAAGTGAGTGACGCTACTCAGATCCTGTATGCGCGTTTCGGAGACGCAGCACACATCGATGGCGCGGGATTCTAAAGTCTTAGCTAAAGAAGCCTGCTGTCCTATTTGGCACAGTGTTCAGACGTTGAAAGCTCCTACGTGTACGTTAGAGTGTGGTTTCAGGAGACCAGGAATAGCGTTCCGCGTGCTCGAATCGTTTGCTCTAGCGGTGCGAGGTGATAAAGAGACGTGAGGAGGGTTAGTCATGGAAATAAGAGAGGTATTACGAGGTGTAGGAAGCATTTGAATGTGACCAACTTGGTCTCATGTGCTGTTACGGGTATGAAGGTTGATGTCACTTCCGGGCTGCCCACACCGTGGAAGGGTATTTCTTGAGGAACCTGAAAAGGAAGTTGGATTAATGTTGGCCTTAACGACCCAGAAGCGTGACCGCAGAGCCCAAGGGACAACTGCTTGAGGCCGGTCGCGTACGGCCTTTTCGTGGGAAGTTTTTAATGTGTTAGCTCCGTTCTCAAAAGGACCTTATCGCCGGAGACAGAAATCAGTAAGATAAGGTAAGGTGTGATATCTTTAGGGTCAACCTTTTCTAGCCCTTTCCTGCAGATGCTGGTTGGCCGAAGGAAACAATTTACTGCTGTCACACCTCTCTACAGTCAGCAATACGACTTCGCCATCAGACCTTGAGTTGCTGCTTTTAGTCTTACCGTTCTTCAATCGACCTGTCTGGCATGGTGGAACCTACAGGAACATATGTTCCAGCCAATATAGCTCGGTTGGGTCATCACGATAGGCAAGCCCGACCACCGCGTCAAGGTAGCAGCTACGGTCGAGACAATTTAAGTATAGTTTATACATAAGTAAACATTTCTCATCTGTAAATAAATTCCAGCCAACCTTGCTGACTCAACCTACCTAACATTGGCTTATAGCTTGTGTATATTAATTAACGTTTATTGATTGTATACTTTTAATAAAAACTATTGAGTCAATATATTCATCACCAACACTTTAATTTTCAGTAGGAATTATTCTATTTGTTGTGATGGGCGGTGTCCGAAATCTAGTAATGATACACGGCATGCAATGTGCTACCCCCCAAACTGACTGCTTGAGCGAGAAAGTACATTGGGCTACCGAATACAATGCACAAATACCCATATAAATATTATACAACTCTACCGCTTCGGAAATCAGTCCATTTCTTAGACAATGAAATGCACTTGTTCTACAGGTCACTTCTAATTACTATCGATCAACCCTCTAAAAAAAGAGAAGGAGGAATTAGGAGATTAGAATTTGGGAGAACACAAAGAGTAGATACACCTGCGCACACCGTTGCATACGACTGTCAGTCATTTCATTCAAGGTCTCTAACCATCTGTTGCTATCATCTCGCGGTCTCTAATCAGGTAGTCTACACCCACCAACATGACTCAGTCTACTTGTCAATGACTTCATGGATTTGTGTCATGTTTTGGTCTGACCGCCCCTAGATTTCTTCCAACCTACTCCTATACCACTGAACATCACATGTCGAGGCAGTCGGTCGTTGGGCATACGTAACACGTGTCCCAGCCATCTCAACTGATGAAGTTTCACTACCTCAACAATTGATTTGTCATCCTTACCTAGTACCCATTTCCTAGCAACTGAGTTACTTACTCGGTGGTCCCAGGATATACGAGCAATGTTTCGAAGACATCTATAATCGAATACTAGTAACCTACGAATATCCTCTACTCTTACCGGCCATGTTTCACTGCCATAAAGTAGAACGGAACGAACTGATGCTCAGTAAACACATCCTTTGGTAAAAATGTTGTTGATAATTTCCATCAAGTTGAGTAGCCTTAATTACTATCAAAATAAACCCATTAATATCAAAAAAGTAATTGTGTTCCTTGTCAATTGTGTAAATATATTTTGCATTACTAATGTACCCTTGTTGAATATTGTTATTATTCGTTTGTTTTCTTTTTACTTTTTACAGAAATGCTACCATAAAGTGTGTAAATTCTGTACAAAATTATATTCAAATTTAGCAGAAAATAGTTTAATCGGTGTTATTTGTACAGGTTCTGAATTTCAAAAGCCATTGTCTAAAAAACGTACACATGCAAATATTTTAAAATCAGCTGTAGGCAATTTTTATATAACACTCAATTCGAATGTTATTGTTCAAACTACAATTGTTGATAATGATTCCAAATGAAAATGCTTATTAGTATTGACTTTTGTTATGTGTAAATTTCGAATTTCAACCGATTTAATCTTTTGTTTTTACTATAATAATTTCCAAAATATAGAAATAAACATTATTCTTTTGTATAAATTACGCATATTTCTTATGATGATGATGTAATTATTTACTAACAAAGAGATATATGATCGATTCCTACGTTTTTTCATTAACAAGTCATTGATTTGATGGTAACGAAACGTCTACATCAATCAAGGTAATGAAAATTGGTGATTATCGCTGTATCTTTGTTGAACAAATAAACTAGCAACTAATCTTATATCGCACCTGTGATTAGAGGACTGTCTTTGTTTCCACAAATAATTATATCAGTCAGTTAAACGTTATATAGAACTTGTTACATATGTACATCGGTTCAAGTTGTCACCTCCCATTAGTACACTGAGATGAAATTGTCAGAATGAATACTAGATTAATAGGGACAGTTAGAGTATTAGTGGTTATAGAAATGATTGATTGAAAACACGACCGAAGAAGAAAATATGAATCAGTGAGATAATCGAACTCTTTCAATAGTTCACTCGAAACAAATATATATTGATCCATGTTCTTTCATTGAATACCTAACAACATATAGTTGTATTGTGCAATGATTTAACCTTTACAACTGTAGTATTGTGGTGTGAGCTACTTATATACACATAAGTAGTGTATAACGATAGAGATAGAATGTATTTCAGTAGAAGATCGAGAAGGAAAGAACGGAAACGGAATGCCATTTCTATTAAAATTCAGGCACAATGAAATCTGAGACTATTGACTGATATTTGCAAAAGGAACAGTCAAATTTGAGAAAATTGGTTGACATTTTGCAAGTTAGGTATTTACCATATGATTCTCAGATTTCAATAAGAGATTCTGTAATTTTGTTCGATTACCCACATTTGTGTTCTCGTTCCCGACAGTATGACAATTCAAGGTGCATAATCTGTAAATTTCAATTATTTGAGTGTATTGGTAACGAAAAGACTGATAGGTCCTGGGTTCGAATCTCGCGGGCTGAGGGATCGTGGATGCGCGCCGCTGAGGAGTCCCATACTGTGACGAAACGGCCGTCCAGTGCTCTCAGGTTTTCCATGGTGGTTTAGCTTCAACTGAATCATGATCTCATTCTGTTAAATCATTTGGTTTTAGAGTTGTAACTTGATGTTTATCTACAGTATTTTTGAGTAATTCTGACTGGTGAATTACATTTGTTTATTTAATGCAGATAAAAGCGACTATGTGTAAATGGCTTTAGTTATCATGTACAAGTTATAGGGGTTTTACGTTGTCTTTTCCTCATACATAGAAAAAATTATATGATAGTCGATCTGAATGGGGGGTAATTCCAACCATCGAACTGATTATAGTAGTTTTATTGAGAAAGTTTCAGTATCCAAAAATCCTAATATAAGTAAACCGATGGATACGTTGGAATACTTGAAATTTGTACTGGAGAATCCAACAAAACGTACTGCTTAAACAAGAGACAGTGTTCTGTGCTTTTTCACTCATAAGTACGCTATCATCACCTTAAGGCTGTGGGAAAATAAGCTCTTTTAAACTAGTTTATCGTTCAATTAAAACCATTGGTGCAGATTTTAACTGGTTAACACTGCCTACTATAATGTCGCCATGATGAGACTTGTAGTATCATCTTTTATGGAAAACGCCTGTATAAATATTTAGCCTTCATAAGAACGCAGTACTTTCACTTTTATTGCTATTAAGCTGTTGTTAAGGATTAGTGGGTAACATTCTGTTTGGTGAGGGATAAAGATGATCTCATGCAAAAACATCAATTCGTCAGTTGAATACACTTGCGTTCCAGACTCTAACATTGTGCCGGGCACTGATCAATTGCAGCCAAAACATCAATAGAACGATTCAAATAACCAATACAAATGAATTAAAATTCACCCGATTATACAAGTGGACCGTTATCTCGAATCAGTAAATAAGCTGATAACGTAATGGCGTTTTGAGCGAACAATAGTGGGCTCGAGTCCCGGACTAAACACTAACAGTAGGATGTAAACGTGTGAAGCTGACAAGTTCAAGATGAGAAAATCTGTCAGTTTCTGAATTGGGAGAGTACAGAATACAATAAACCTGCTTGCTATCTTCGTGTTCTAATTAGTCATTGTGCGAACAAATGGGAATTGGGATTTCCAGTCGTTGTTCAAGGTCATTAGTCATTAATCTGATTGGTGCACATGAATGGATCATGATTAGTCTCTGATCTAGTGTGCAAAAATTCAGAATTTTGAAAGTCACAACAAATAAACATTAAATGTTTTATTTTTTTGCCATAAGAAAACTTATTTACAAGATAAATTTAAAATACTCATGTTAGCAATTTTGAAGTTCCTGGAGTATAACAGTTTATATGTTTACCTTCAACATGAAAATGATATGTGCTCGAAGTGGTAACATTCTGGAGATTAATTTCATCATCTATCGAACGTTTCCAACAAATTAACTTAATTTTGAAAAAAAAAGAAAAAACGGAACAACATCAATTTCAATAAACTGAAGTGATAGTAATTAAATACACAGCGGGAATTTATATAAAGTAACGTTATTTTGTCTCTAAATCAGACTTTTTTGGTTTAGACTTCAAAAGTTATCGTAAACTGTGATTGGTTAATCAACAGTCATATATATCGGTTCACATTCCCACACCCATTAACACAGAATTATCAAGGCAAATCCCATTTTAATAGAAGTGTGGTGTATGCTACTTATGTCGACATAAGTAGTATGTGACACCAATCAAAGGTGGAATATCTGGCAGCAAATCGACTCGAAAAGAACAGGAATATAGAGTAATCTTTATGGCAATAAAGGTAGATGAAGTTTGATATCATTGATGGAGGATTTGCAAATGAAATATTTGATGAATTTATTTCATATTTCATTAAAGAACTCTGGAATTCAGCATTACAATACATTGGTTGTTCCCACCTGCGTTCTCGTTCACAACAGAGATGGTAACAGTATAAGTGGTGGTTTAGAAAAATTAGGCACATACGATTCAAGGAAATGTAAACTGAGGCTCTCTAACTACTGGTTACGATAATCACGCGGACCCCAACCAGGTAATCTACACCTGTTGAAAAGGATCAGTTCCATTGTCAATAACATCGTGAACTGGTGCTATGTCTTCCTCTGGTAGATCCTAGCTTTTTCCCAGCCTACTCTTATAATAGACAATATCTGCTGTCGAAGTAGGTGATGACTGAGAATACGTGACACATGATGATTTACTACCTCATCGATAGATTTGCTATTCTTATCTAGTGCCTTATCCCTAACCCAAGGATTGTTTGATTTGAAGACACTTAGTAACATATGGTGGTCAGAATACTCTGCATTTTATCGGCGTCTTTATCAAACAACCACATCATCTGCGTATTCTAGGTGAGAAAGTTAATCTCTTAGTAAAGGACAAACCCCTGAAAGTTCAGATGATGAGAGTGGTATCTTTAAAAGTGTCAATAACAAGGTTAACTAAAAATAAGGAAAGACAATCCTGATGAGCACCAGTTGAAGTTGTTGAGCTCAATAACAGTCCGCCATAAGCTCTGACTCAACCAGTAATGAGAATAGGATAAACAAAGCTAAAGAAAACTGTCTAATCAATTAGGAATCAGCATGCATAATGATATCTCATCAGTCTTCAAATAGAAATAACGAATAGTTTATTTATTTATTTATTTCAACACATAGATATTGGTACAAAGAGGCACCAAATACATATGCGCCACACAAATCTCATTCGATATGTGTGAGGGCTGTGATACTGCCCGGGTGCCCAGACCGAAGCAGGTGGTTTTCTTAGGGGGCCACAGATGTCTGGTGATACATTTTCTGTGAATTATTTTGGGAACAAGGGATTATATAAACATACTAAATCATAGAAAATACAAGAAATTTACCTGACCATCAACCAATGATGTATAACCTGTTAGTAATGGTTTACATTCTAGTATAATTGAAGCCCGTGATTTCCATAGAGCAACGAGATGTACTAAAGCAGGTTCGTATTCTGATACAATTGAATCTTGGAAAAAATCTCCAATATGTATTCCGATACAAACTAATATATTCGCTATATTGATGGCAGTTTGTTGATCACGTGAATGATAAAGCCAACTACATAAAAATTGTTCTAATTCACGTACAGTAACTCCTAGATCATATAAAGCTGTTATATTATCAATGAAAATGCCAATATTTTTTTGTTGCACACCATCCGAAGGATTAGTTGTGTAATTATTCTTCAGAAATTCATCAGTCTAAAAATAAGTGGTTTTTATGAAGAAAAGAAACGAAGAGTACACAATCAGTACGTAATCTTAAGTGAGCAGATTTGCACTACAGCGAAAAAGTTTTTATCATCGTTATTTATGATAGTAGCGGTGTAACCTCCTTGTCTAAATTCAGTGACATGAAGATAACGAATTTAATTCTATATATATTTCTAAGCGTACCCTACTGATGAGTTTCAATCCAGTAAAAAACAGCTATTTTCTAGTTCCTGGTGTATTTACATTGGATAGAAGTTTAATTTGGGCAGAACATTGAGAGACTTCATCTATACCGTATTGTTTCAAAGACGGTGAGATAAAAGTTACAACACTTGATTTTCGATGTATAAGTTCATATACCTCCTCATCTAATTGTATCAAGGCAACTGGGTAGTATCATTAGCACACAGGCAAACAATATGGAGTTACATAATAGAGATTATATTAGTAGAAATGAGTTTTTGAGTTGAACAATTTGATTGTGAAAATTGTTATTGTCGTTTTAGACAACTTCACAATTGATCGATCACTGGTGGTGATCAATGTCATGTTTGTCTAGTCCTTGTTCACGTGTCGTTTCCCCACTGGTCAATGTTTATTTCACGTGTCATTTTCCTGTTGGCCAAATATTGTACAAATGTTATTTTCTATTTTATGGTACGTTGTGGTCTGCTTGATTGGTATATAAACAGAGTATGTTTGAAATATAATGATTCATATCTCAGAGGCTGAGACTTGCGTTCTGGACTCAACTGGCTGGGGAAGACAGGGAAGCGGGACCAATCAGAACTCTAGGCCGTTCTTACGTGTTTACGCGTCTTTGGTCCGATCGATAATACGCTTCGCTCTAATCTGCAGTCCACAATTATAACACCGGTGCTTTAACCGGGTTGGTGGACATGAAGACTCCACCTAGGGAAGTTGGAAAACCCTCATTCCAAACCAATGGTGCACATGCGCTTCAGTATCCTGAAGGAACAAATGGCTTATGAACCAAACGTTGGTCACTGTTGCAACGGGTGACTGCAGGTCTTGATAAGCAGCGTTTATACCGATCGGTCGCAGTGACACGTAAATACGTACGAACGACCTAGTGTCCTGATTGGCCCTGCTTCCCTGTCTTTCCCAGCCAGTTGAGTCCAGAACGAAAGCCACAGCCTCTGATATATGAATCATTATATTTCAAACACACTCTGTTTATATACTAACCAAACATACCACATTGTACCATAAAAATACAAAACAACATTTACACAATATTAAACAAGTGAAGTAAATATCGACCAATAGGGAGGGAATGTACATTTAGCGTCCAAGGACAACATTAGACTTAACATGATAACTATTGGTATATTTTTCTGCACATCCTAACAGTCACCGACTACCATGGGACTGCATCTCCTTAAGATGTTCCACTGCCTTGTGAATCAGACCTTCAGGTCTAAGGCTCCGAGTGTGGCCCCCTGAGAAAACCACCTGTCTCGGTCTGGGCACCCGGGCAGTATCACAACCCTCACATATATCAAATGAGATTTGTATGGAGCATATGTATTTGGTGCCTCCTTGTACCAATATCTGTTAAAATAAATAAATTTCTAAAAAAAACATATATATACATCTAATTACCTTGTCTTTGATATAATTCTTAATAATAGTTCCAATATTTTCATCAGTAATTAAATCTTTATCATTATTATCTAATTCAGAGTATGAATTTGATTTGAGTAGTAAATTTTCTATCATTATTGTCATATCAATGATAGTTAAATTATTTTTCAATGTTATATTATTTGCATATAATGGATTGATTAATTTATGATAAATATTCCATGATTTATGAAAGCAAAAAATTAAACATTTAGTTATGTTTTGTTGATTAACAGGAACTGTGTTATTATTATTATTATTATTATTATTATTATTATTATTATTATTATTATCATCAACGATATTTATGGTAGTAGGAATAGGAGACGAATGAATGATTGTTGTAGCATAGTTTTGTAAAAATTGATTAATACATTCAATGAAGAATAATTCATGTACAGCATTTCCATGACTTAATAATAAGCATAATTTGTTATTAATATGATGAATATTATCATTATTATAGACTGATGCTTTATGTAATTCAATGTTATGAATTGAAGAATTAGTAAGAGGAAGAGGTGGGAATAATAAATTTCGTAAAATTTCTGAGAAATTCATGAATGACGATAAATAAATTAATTTTATAACAACTGAAAGAGAAAGGGAAATCCTGTTTAGTATGAGAAACACAAAGTTAGAAATAAATTAAATGGTTAGATGGTGGTTGGAGGTAGTGGACAGGAAACCCTGGACCCGGGTTTCGTGCTATTTGGCACTCGTCAGTAAGGTGTACCTGTAATCTTGAGGGAACTGGTGCTCCCTGGCGGATTCGATCTCGTGTCACCCAGCTTCACAATCAGGGACGTTACCACTGAGCTATCCGAGCCGCGACCAATCTCCTGTAGGACTGAGATGTAATCACAATTGATTGATCACTGGTTGGCAATCAATCAATTGTTATAAATTAAATGGTAATTGACCTAGGGGTTTTAAGCTTGTTGAAACTCATTACTCAAATGTGTATTCAATATCAAAGCAATAAATTCTTTTTCTATGAACATTGATTTTATATTACTGGAATATTAATTAGGCAACAGATAACAATCAATTAAAACCCCCACAATTAATATTAATTTGCAATTTATCTTTGCTAAGTACAGATTGAAATATTCGACTTCTAGCCAAACTGTTTATATGGAGTTAATACAACACAAAACAAAAAGCGATTCATTAATTTCTAATGTAGTTAAGACAAGAAAATATCATATCTCTTAAATTAGATGTTTGTATAACACTAAAATTCTTTAGGATTAATTTCAGAATAAAAACAACTGTCAACCGCTTCAACGTGAAACCAACTTAGTGATGAAACGTGTATATATTAATAAATAATTTCCGTGAAGATTTCTACTATTTAACTTTTATTCAATAAGTCCATTTTTCATTATTAAGTTCTAAACAATTGACTTGAATTATAACATTGATTTACAGGTGCTAATGCACTTTATTGATTGAATATCGTCTGTTCACAGATACAGTGTGATTCCATACTGATTCAACCCTAGTTAATAGTGATATAACTGTTCCATAACTAAGTAATGACTAAGCATGTTGTGTAGTTGTTTCATGTGATGTTTCAATGTGCCCTGGATACATAGCTTTGGAATATTTACGTGTACACGTAATGTACACAAAATGCATTGTTTTGGACCCTTTCAATACATATACAGTTCTCAAAAATAACTGGTTGAAAGTATTTCCTGTGAAACCTTTTGATAAGGTTCATATGTGGCAATGGATGAAGCTTCGCGCATGATCATAGATCGACTGAATTGAAATATTAACACAGTCGGATGCCAGCTCTGTAGTCTAGAAGTTGACATGGTAGGATAAAACGCAAAATTATACTTTTAGCACATTGTGATAATTGTTCAACATTATTTTGTCTTTTTTAAAAGAAATTCAATACAGTGAATACTCAGTGTATTATTTTGCAGTGTGATGTGTTATTCAATATATAACATTGTTTGTGTTAAATTAAAGAGAACTTTAGTTCATTATGACATGGAGCATGTGATTTAGTTACGATTCTGGGCATTTTTCATTTACATTACTTTTAAGTAATTATTAATCAAATCGGTGCAAAAATCAATACTTTGGTTTATAGTAGTAATAGTGAGGATAAACGCAGGATATTAGAAAACGGTGGTAAATCAGTTGATGAAGTTGTGAATCTACATCGAGTGATATTGGTTGGTCCACGTATTATGCATGCTTAACAACCGATTACCACGGCGCGCAATGCTGACCACAGTTGGAGGCGGATGGAAGAACGCTAGGACAGGCCAAACCAAAACAAGACATCAATTCATAAAGTCACCAACGTATTGTTTAAGTCATGTTAGTAGATTCAGACTACATGGTTGGAGTTCACGCGATTATCTCAAGCAGTGGTTGGAGAATGAGTGATATGCTTCAGAACTGACGACAATGGTGTAAGTGTATACACTCTTTGTATTCTTTTAAACTATGAAATTAAAATTGATTTATACCTTTCTTTCTACGGCCTAATTATTTATTATTATTTATTTCAACACATAGATATTGGTAAAAAGAGGCACCAAATACATATGCGCCACACAAATCTCATTCGATATGTGTGAGGGCTGTGATACTGCCCGGGTGCCCAAACCGAAGCAGTATTATATCTTTATATGTAATCTTTCTTTCATATATTACTATGATTGAAGTAACTACTCCTATGAATTTGGTATCCACCTTGTTGTGCTAATGAGGTAAGGCAACTTGGACTGGTGCATATATGTGCCTGGTCCTATGTTGTAGATGATTGACTAACTCACAAATCAATATATAAATACGTGTAGTTTCAACTGCTGTTGTCGTGCTTTCATTTGTATCAGTCCTCTGTGTTTTTACTTAGTGTCGTGGGAATTGTAGTTCTTTGTTTTCAAGTATAAAAAATAAGTGACGCGGATACAACAGAGATTAGGCGTTCACGCACGAGACCGACAGTCCTGGGTTCAACGCCTAAGTGGGGAATCGTCAATGCGCAATGATGAGAAGTCCTACGCCAAGACAAAACAGTCATCTAGAGCTTCTAGGTTTCTAAATAATGATCTAGCTTAAATCAGCTAGTGATTTCAGTTGTGAAACTAAAAAAATCATACTTTACAAACATACAGAATGTATTATATACACATATATCTTAAACAGAAACAAATAGAAATCATATTCTTGCCTATAATATATTGTATTTTATTTCTTTCTCTATATATACACATATAGAATAGTGTTATGCAAATGTATTAATATAACAGTGATATGCTACAAACATAGAAATTATGAAAACTAACATGAAAATGAAACAAACTATAAGAAGAAGTGGAATAATTGTACATTAACATAGAGAAGAAAAAGGTGAAAAGGATTTAAAATACTATAGAAGTAATAAGATTTGTAGATGATCATTGTGATGTTTACACTGTAATGTATAAACAATAGATTTTTGTTGTTGTTGTTGTTGTTATTTAAATCTATTCAATAAAATAAAGAACGAAAAAATTAAACTCAAATAGATTGTTTCATCATTTTATTATTATATACAGTCATTATTTTTTGTTTTAATTATTAATATAGAAAACCAATGAATCATAGTTAATTCAATAAATAAATAAACTCCTGGTAAATAAATTAAACTAATAATTAATTGTGTTTGATATGATCCGATATGTAAAATAATACGTGTAGAAATCATTTGAGAACTTGTTATAATTGGATAATTAACAATGAAATAACCATTAGTTGAATCAATTACTGATAGATATAATTCATTATGATATGAATTTAATGGTAAACTATGTTGAATAGATAATGAACCACTGAAACAATAACAATCATGATGATGACATGTCATATTTGTAGTTAGATATGCATTTGACCATTCCGATATTGGTACACCAAATGATGTTAATAACTAAATGAAGAAGTAGTATTTACAGTAATAATAACAACAGTAATAGTAGTAGTGATAATAATGGTGATAACAGTAATAATAATGATGGTAATAGTAATGATAACAATGATAAGAAGTGTAAACGAAAATCTGGAGAAAAAAAGCATGGATATGAATATCAAAGCTTAAAATGATAATATGTATTACACTAAGTCTGCTATCTGGTAAAATTCATTTGTTGAAAAATGACATTATTTATTTATTTTAACACATAGATATTGGTACAAGAAGGCACCAAATATAAATGCGCCACACAGATCTCATTCGATGTGTCAGGGCTGTGATACTGCCAGGGTGCCCAAACCGAAGCAGGTTTTCTTAGGGGGGCCACACCCGGAGCCTTCGACCTGAAGGTCTGACTCACAAGGCGATGGGCGACGTCAGGGGATTCAGTCCCATGGTAGCCGGTGACCAACGATTGTTTCATACACTATTTGTTCCTTCAGGATACTGGAGCCCATGTGCACCATTGGTTTGGAATGAGGGTTTTCCAATTCTCTATGTCCACTAACCCGGTCAAAGCGCCGGATATTCGCTTTTCGTTCTCTCAATTTGGTAAAAAATACATCCCTGCCACGAGAAGACAGTGAGTAGGACTTTCCTGGCAGAGGCTATATACGCGTGGTCATGTGAGAGTATTTCGAGAGGGAGAGCGGACCCTCTCTGTGCTTGAGCGTACCAGGGCACTTAGGGGCAAATAATGACAGATTAGTATATAAACCATAGTCACCAGTACTTATGTGAACAGAGAAACATAGAAGCTGTGACAAACCACAGAAGCTATTTTGGTAGCGTTATTTTACTTAGTTCAAAACACTAACATTTAGTTTTGTCCCTAGTTGACTCTACAAACCATAAGCTTTCGTTTGATGTATGGTTCACTGCCATACTCTTTTCTGTTCCAAAGCTATTGTCATTTAAACACAACCTTTGGCACTCGATTTTTCTGCCCTAATGCCTAGTTTTGGACATAATTGTATTTTCCTAATTGTTTGTGCATTGTGGTTGTGTCGCTTGTCTATTTCTTCATGTATATTTTTTAACTAATCTGAATCAGAATGTGAATCGGAGTTGGAGTCTGGAATAGATAGAGTAATGTTCCAGTTGACTCGTCTTTTATCACTTGCGCTTGTCAACCAATCAGGTGATAGAATCGTTTTCGTCTGTCAACACAAAAAAGTTAGCCTCAATTAGGAATCACACATTTCTAGCCTCAAGGTTGAACCAAGTGGCCGATTGTGTCAAGGCCTTAATTTAGATCGAGACAAGCTCTCTCCTGTATATTATTAGGTAGATGGATCAAGAACGTAACGGGTACATTGTCCACTTATCAAATAAACGATGAGTATACTGAACAGTAGTTAGCTGTTATATCTGTGATACATTTCGATTAAAGATAGATATTAATAGGTTACTAATATTTTATTATAGATACATTGATAGCATCGTTCATATATGCAAAAACCATCGAGCAAGAAATACTAAGGGTTAGATGTAGTTATATGTTGCATGACATTGAACTGTAATTGGTTGGTAAGTGAAGACCAACAAATACTAGTTATATAGATTATTATTATTATGTGTAGAAGACTAATTTCATTATAATAACTCTGTTCAGATTTCACATACTATTTGATCGCCTATCGTCTATCTCTGGTCTTTTCTACTGCAATTGATATCACATTACTACTACTAAACACAATTTCCCAGGTTTTATGTTGATCATAACTGACTAAACTAATAAATAAACAACAACAAAAACATGTATACATATTCATTCTTTTGAAAGTAAAAGACAATAAGAATTTCCCTAAATAACTTACTCTGACTAAAAATCGTTTTGCTAATCGGGATTCATTAAATAACTTTAAATGATATGAACAATCTCTGATTAAATAATTTAAAATTTTTTTATTATCATCAAGAATAATAGAATCAACTGGTTCGAAATGGTCGTTAACGAATTGAACACTGATCTAAAAATTTTGGAAAAAATAAAGCAAACAAATATTACTTTTTAGTATAGGGGTTGTGGAGATTATTACGTTTTTGGTCGATATCATGAACTGATTGATGTTAGACCACCATTGAAAACCTGGAAGCACCGAACGGCCGTATCGGTCTATTGTGGGACTCCTCAGTAGTGCTCATCCACGACCCCGCTCGAGCCAAGGGCCCTTAGTCTCGCACGCGAACGCTTAACTTACTGGACCACTATGCCGGCATCCTGTAGGTCAAAAGTTCGCGTGCAAGACTGAAGGCCCTAGATTCAAATCCTGCGAATAGGATCGTGGATGCGCGCTGCTAAGGAGTCCCACAATAGACCGAAACGGCCGTTCGGTGCTTCCAGGTTTTCAATGGTGGTCTAATATCAGTCGGCTCATGATCTCCATCAAAAAATATATTACTTAATTTTAATGTACATATATTTGATGATTAAGCATAGCCTACAAGAAACTATGGATATAGATATTGTATTAGTTGGTATTCGTAGTGCATGCTACTTATTCCGGCAGACATAGGTAGTATATAACAGGAATTGGAATGCTTGTCAAAAGATTGAATTGAAGAGAACAAGGAGAGGAACAAAAAGCATTCGGAGTAATAACAGAATTAGAAGAATCATAGAGTATGTAAAAGTTAACCAATGAAAGATGTGCAAATGATGAATTTGGTATCTGGTGTACGGTGGCGCAACTTCGTGGATTGGTTGAAGTTAGACATTAACACCGTTGGATGCAGGCACATTGATCCAATGGTTAAGTGTTCACGCGCGAAACCAGTAGGCCCTGGGTTCGAATCCCGCGGGGTGTGGGATCGTGGATGCACACTGCTGAGGGGTCCCATACTAGGGCGAAACGGCCGTCCAGTGCTTTCAGGTTTTCCATGGTGATCTAGCTTCAAATGAATCTGTGAAATTTCTAAAAATCTCCACAAAACCCATTCTGATAATAATCTTAATTTATTTCCAATCTATTAGTTATAATCTCCCACACTCAAACACTGGCCTGATCTTGTATAAACATTATTTTTCATTCTATGGTATAGTGCGGTCTGGTCAGTTTGTATATAAACCACTCATGTTTCATACAGTAGAGGTTAATATTTGCGTTTTGGACTCAACGGTCAAGGCTAGGTGAGAAGAATTAATAAGGACTCAGAGTCGATTCTAGGGGCTGCTCGTGCTGGTTAACGCATCATTGGTTTAACACAGGGACAATGTCATATAAGTCGGTGTTCTGATTGGCGATTTTGTCACGTGATAATTGATAGGGCCATAACACTTAACCGAAACAAATTAATTTACTAAGAATATAAAAATAAGTCTTTACATAGAGAAAATATTGAAAAGTAAAAGATAATAAACTTACAAATTGGGTAATGGACTTGTCCACATTGTCTAAAATAAAATGTGACATTATTATTTATTTTTTTTAAGTTTCATCACAGAAAGTCAATATAAATAAATACCGATCATATGTCGTCTATGTACTAGATTTTATGTGAAACTTTATTAAGAAAAAATAAGCTAACAGAACTGTTCTACAGAGTATGTATTACTGATTATTCAACTGTACGTCAGGTACCTAGTCAATTGATTTTGTGCTCATAATCAAAATAATTTTCACAAATTGACCTTACTACTAGAGGAAGTGCTAAACAGGTTTGAAACCATGTTGGTCAATAGCTGTTAAACAGCACAGAAATGGTAAATATGTCACTAAATATCTATTGATTTAAACAACATTGGAACACTTTAACAAAGCTAAGAAGAGGTGATACTTTGATTATAATCAAGTCAGGTGACGAAAAAGGTGTAGTTTGAATGAGTAAAACAGAATAAGTTGATAAAATTAATTTGATACTGTTGGGGAGCTGACTAGTTCTTCAACAGAACTAATATGAAAAGCGGATAATTTCATATGAACTTCATGTTTTCATTAAACCGACTACATCAGATACACTACAACTCTACAGTCTATCCAAAGTTCATAAGTCGAATCTTACTATCCGCTCAGTTTTAGATATCTTATATATATATATATATATATATATATATATATATATATATATATATATATATATATATATATATATATATATATATATATATACTTACGCGTTACTCCTAATGGAGCATAGGCCGCCGACCAGCATTCTCCAACCCACTCTGTTCTGGGCCTCCTTTTCTAGTTCCATCCAATTCTTGTTCATTTTCCTCATGTCTGTTTCCATTTCTCGGTGTAATGTGTTCTTTAGTCTTCCTCTTTTCCTTTGGCCTTGAGGATTCCATGTGAGGGCTTGTCTTGTGACGCAGTTGGGTGCTTTCCTCAATGTGTGTCCTATCCACTTCCAGCGCTTCTTCCTGATTTCTTCCTCCGCTGGGATCTGGTTTGTTCTCTCCCATAGTAGGTTGTTGCTAATAGTGTCCGGCAAACGGATCCGAAGTGTTGTGCGTAGACAACTGTTAATAAACACCTGTATCTTCTGGATGATGGATTTCGTAGTTCTCCAGGTTTCCGCCCCATACAGTAGAACTGTCTTGACATTTGTATTGAAAATTTTGACCTTGGTGTTGGTTGGCATTTTTTTTTAGTTGCAGATGTTCTTCAGTTGTAAATATGCTGCTCTTGCTTTGCCGATCCGCGCTTTCACATCTGCATCAGATCCACCCTGTTCATCAATAATGCTGCCCAAATATGTAAAGGCTTTTACATCTTCCAAATCTTCTCCGTCAATTGTGATTGGATTGGTGCATGCTGTGTTGTATCGGAGAATCTTGCTTTTCTCTTTGTATATATTGAGACCTACTGCTGCTAAGGCTTCTGTTACACTGATCGTCTTCTCCTGCATTTGTTGTTGCGTTTGCGATAGAGGAGCCAGATCATCTGCAAAGTATAGATCGTCCAACTGCATCCTAGATGTTCACTGTATCCCGTGCTTCACTTCAGATGTTGATGTCTTCATGATCCAGTCGATCACCAGGAGAAAGAGAAAGGGTGAGAGTAAGCAACCTTGCCTAACACCGGTCTTCACTTCGAACGACTTTGTCAACTGTCCTCCATGCATGATTTTGCAGTTTAATCCATCAAAGGAATTCTGTATGATATTGACTATCTTCTGAGGCACGCCGTAGTGTCGAAGAAGCTTCCATAGTGTTGTTCTGTCCACGCTATCTTATATTTATAATCATGAATGTGAGTTTAGATTAAAATAACTACGACTTATTGTAAAATAATGTAACACAGCTTAGTGTTAACTACGGAAATATACCAGAGAAAAACCTGTAACGTGTAAATCGTGTATTTTACCATTTAAAATCAACTTACCAATATACTTAGAATAAGTCAGTAATGATGTTGAACTAGATTGAACAATCGGAGATGATCTACTCCTCAATAACATTAAACCATGATTTGATAATAAGAGATATGAAGGTGGCGTCGATATTCCAGTTGGTAACGGTAAAGGTATTGGAGATAATGAAATTGTCTGCAATGAATTAGTTTGATGATTGAACATGCTATCATGGTTATGTGATATTATCACCAAAGGATTATGTAGTCGCAAATGAATCAAATTTGTGTAAACATCAGTAAAAACCTAGATGATGCAAAAAGTGATAGAACGATAATCTTTTTAATTTGTACTACTACTAATAATAATAACAGTTACAACAATACATTTTGAAAATTAGTGAAAAATGTATTAATTCAATCAAAATACTAAAAACTTGTTATTGTTAAAAAGGGTTCGGAAATCACTTTATTTTAGTCTTAGAGTTGATATAAAAATATCTTTATCTCCTATTATTTCTCTTTATTGTCCTAAATAACATAAGAGAATCGAGAGATAGATAGTGATAGGCTTTTCACTCTGCATTCAATGCTGAATCCGATGTTCATCTTCTTGTGCTAATGAGGTGTGGCAACTTCAGCCGATGCATATATGCGCCTGGTCTTACGTTGTAGCAGACTGACTAAATGCTGAGCGTGGATCGATATATATATATATATATATATGCTATGATGTACACTTATCTTTCTTGTGACTGAAAAAAACTACGTTGAAATCCTCATTTTCCTTCCACTTCTTTTATTCACCTGTATTCTGTACAAGGGAGCCGTCAAATTATGGTCTTAACAAACAACTTCCTTGTTAAATGGTAGTTTTGATATGTAGAGAAGTTCGCGACAACTTTTTCGTAATTCATATTTCTCTATTGGCTTTTACTTTCGTCTGATTGGTTGTTCACACTTTTAGTTTGCTAAATTTTCTGTCTTAAGGTTATATTTGTTGTTAGATAAACAAAGTTGTTTTATTACAATTTTGACATCCATTAGGGATATTAGGGCTTCCCATAAAGTCTCGTCTTTTCTCGCTCTCTTCTCCCTCATATAAGCGAATGGATTATTAACGTTCAAGTGTTCTGTTGTATTAGTCGTATGATCAATGTAGTTTGCGTCGATTCAATTTTATGTTAAAAGAATCTCTAAACCATTCGTACTTCGAAATTATCTTAAGCAACTTCCGACCAAAATATTTTGGAACTAAACCCACAATAACGTAAAGGTCAAACTCACCAACCAGTATGTGTAATCCTCTCTTTGATATAATAATCCAGACCCTATAGAAAGATTTGTAACATTATGATACATAGTAAACAAACTAACAGGATATCCTGGAGCCGATAATCCGGTCTGAATGTCGACAGCATGTGCATAACTGTGCGGAAAAATACAAAAAAAAAACTTATGAAAAACACATCTAGGAATGATCAATTACGAACTTTATCGACTCTATTTACATATTGTGATCACTGATTTAGGTGACACAAAAGAGATCCTATCTTTTTGATACTAGGCTCCCGAAAGCTTCAGAGAAGAAACTCAACAACTAGCCAGAACCATAGAAAATGCTACGTGATATGGAGTGACTCGACTTAGTGACTGCATTGTAAACGCAATCGATACGATTCAAATATCAATGGAAACCAGATAATTTGACATTGACACAGTGATCGAATGAAATGATCAGTAATACCGTAAAGTGCACATCAATCATCACTTGAATACTTCAGTGGTAATGGTACCTTCTATAGTGGAGAGAAATGATCAGTTCACAGTACTAGCATTAGATAATGGATCACAACAGTTGATCACAGGATAATACATCATCACTTAAGTATGCGACGATTTATTCGAAAATCAGTTTAAATCACAACAAGGGTTTATTGAAATAATTACAGAGCGTTCGATGAGTAGAATGAATTTTACAATAAAAGAAAGTTTTGTACAATTAGTGTAGCTGAGGACATGTGTATTTGATTATTGATGACAGATCACATATCACTATGGCAAGAAATTTCACCTTCTCTCTACCCTCTGAAGTATCTATATAGGACTCTATTTCTGGTACACTTGAGGTGACGATGTCTTTTTTCGCGTACAGATTGACTTCTTACCAACTTTCGCCTCAGGTTTGTTTTTCTACAATTGTGGAGTTGACAGTGAAATAACACACATGTCACACTCAACCTCCACAGGTGATTGCTCAACCAGAAATGACTTACCATCCATTTTTCTTACCATGATATTCTGTGCGTATTATTTAACTTTCTACTCATAAAACAGTGTAGGATTTTTCTGTGGAAGTGTCATTAACATATTGATATTACTGATCTTAACATTTCTTGACGATCTATCAAGCAAACTAATTTTTCGCTCTAAAACTAACCAAAATGATACATTTCACACAAGCACTGATTGAGTTTAGAGATTTTTAAAAATATTCACGTTATAGCCTGATTCAACTAACTGACTAATTTAGACTAAATTATTGGTGATTCTGGTAGAAATCCTAAAACCTTCCAAAAGCTATATGGATTGAACATCAAAATCAGTCAGGCATAACACAGAATACGGCACAGATATGTATCAGGTTTAAATGATAATCTAAGTCACTGATATACAGGACAAGAACACATATATCACATGCCTATTTACATGCCATCTCAAAGTTAAATGATAGGTGAGCCATTATAAACGAGGCACTGGAATTAGAGGAGGCCGATTATACACCGACTCAAAGTTTTAGTTTACATGTCCTTGTTTGGATTAAAAGGGCAAACGTATGTATACCTGTGACTAGTGTACATTATAGTTCAGTTCGACAATTAAAACGTTACCATTCCTTTTAATCGCCTCCTCTGCATAATGGATTTCAGCCAGTCAAACACAATGTAGAACCTGGAACATGTGTGTATCTATTTAGGTTACCACAATCCATTAGTACAGTGAGATGAAATTGCCGGAACAAATACCAGGATAATAGGGGCAATAAGAGTATTAGTAGTCATAGGAAAGATTAATTTATTTAAGATACGATCAGAGAATAAAATATGAATCAAAGAAATAAAACTTGAGGAAAGTTTATAAAATAATCTTGAAACTAGTAACTTAAGGGAAAACAAATAGTGAATACATCTAATATGACTATTACGAACGACTTTGAACCACACCACTCAAAGTCTCTAACTATTGGTCATAGTAGATTTTATGTATATCGTAGAAAGTGCATAAGTGAATCCGATTGTATAATAACATATCAATCACTACAGTATGAAGAAATTCACAAAATAAAAAGCAAAGTAATTACCAATATAAACTGCAGTGGAAACTACACTAAACAAAAATACATAACATTCAAAAAGGATAAACAAAGATGGAAAATGATAAGTATGAATGAATTAAAGCACCATACATACTGCGACTACTTTGATATCACGTCATCAAAGGTAAATAGACTTCTGTAATTATGGTTAACTTTAAAATATAAAATTACACTACGCGATATGGTTAAAATGAATCCCTGTTTCCATTTGATTTTTTCTACTTTAAACGACAAAATGAAATGGAGACTTTAAATCCAAGTATAAGTGATGAATAATATCGTAAATATTGTCAAAGACAAAAAGCACATACCCATCAGGTGTTGTGTAAACAGACCATGGTGAACAAGTTTGTAACTTTTGACATCCAGGAACAATAATCACTTGACCAGTTTGTTCTTCATACTTCAATGTAGTCGTAGTAGTATTAGAAGTAGAAGGGCAATATGTCCAATAAACTTGAGAATGATATTTTTTAGTTGATACAAGAAGAACAAGACGTAAACAAGAATAAATATCCACTTGTAGACAACAAGTAAGTACACTAGACCGTAATATGTTCGATTTCATTTTATTTAATGGACATGGAGATGGTACACACTGTGAAAATTAAGGAACATTAAACAACTTTAATTTAGTAAAGGTATATAATACTATATATATATATATATATATATATATATATATATATATATATTACATAAGACAATAATTCCTAGACACGCATTGATTTTTCAAAGTGGACATAACTATTTAGATTACATGCAAAGTGAACTGATGCTCTAGGAAGTTTATTCAGCATAGGAACTAATTATTATTACCAATCTTTTGCGTTCAACTATCTCTACCTTGATAATAGGTACCCTTTAATTGTGAACATTGTTAAGGTTTTTAAATTAAATAATCTGATATGTTTCCCATCTAGTAGGCTGAGACCAGAACATTAATATTCTGATTATAATCAACTAATATTTTTCACCGTTATGTAACAACATTTTAGCTATATTCACACAGATGGATGTAATAGAGAAAGCATGATGATACTTTAAAAAATAACACTATCTCCAGAATGTGAAAATTATAGTACAACTGTTAAACATATTTTTAGAATTAATATCGCAAACTGATCTTAGTTGGACTACCATTGAAAACCGGGAAGCACTGAATAGATGTTTCACCCCAAGTCAGAGACTTCCACTGCGCACCCACTGGAACAGGACTTTTTAAAGCTTTTTTGGTAGGATTGATAAGTTACTAAACCAAACGGAGAATCTTGTCCAATATTTGATCTGTTTGGTTCACTGGGTTCCATTTCCTCAGCTCATTCTCCTTTAAACACCTCTTACAAAAAAATATGACAGGCACAGATGGAGTGGGGTCAAGCGCTTACCAGTTCAAACCCATACATAAGGCAAGAGTGCGTTGGATTTATGCAACTCTTAAGTCAACTCGCAGTAGTAAGAGGTGTCGGAAGAAAGTACTGAAGATGAAAAAAATGTAGACTTACATCTGATTTGTCAGAAGTGGTGGCTATGATGTGGCTGTGTTTGTGCATGGATAAGCTTGCAACAGCAACCTCCACATTGCACAAAGTAGCATACATCAAGGAAACTACTATACCGAAACCTGAGTTAGCAACCCCAGTCCTAAGTGTGAGAACGAATCAAATTTGGGCAAAAGTGTGCGTAGTTGAGGGAACCAGTAATCATACAGAACTGTTGGAATCATCAGAGTTCTGGTTCTTACAATCATTTCAGTGTATCATTTAGTTTTTAGTATGACAAATATTAAGTACGACATCCTCCATCACTCACCAAATCCATTTTAAACGCAATTAAATGAAAAACACATGTACAAGACTTACTGATAAGGTCATTGGAGTGATACGGAAAGAATGAGAATCAATAAAAATGTTATTGACCTCTAACGAAAGTTGACTAACATGACTATTTAACATTGTTAATTGAACCACGTGTATATTTCCACTGAATGTAGTAATAAAACTATAATAACTATCAACATATGAACGATCTTTGACTCGAGTCTCTCCCAAAACATTGGCATTTATAATAGGCGACGAGAAAATATACGGTGGTAATTTAACAGATAACTAGAACATAGTTAGAAGGAAAGCAAACAGAAAAAAATATGAACAGAATTACACAATTGCTAATTAAATATAAAATCTTTAAGAAACAAACGAAATATCCAACATAATAGGGTACTATGTAGAAGTGAAAAATCGATTGATTACGTTGTAAATGTTCATCGACTGAAGTGATCAGGACATGTGCTATGTATACCTAACCACCGTCCAAATTAATGGGTGGAGTTTGCTGGTTTATAAGTTGGAAGTATGATAGGAGTAACAAGATTAAGACAGGGAACCAGTCTACAAAGAGATTGGCTGTTATGCCTAGTCGTGTTGATATATATATATATATAAATTAATCACATACTACAGATGCTTAGTTAACAAAATATAATAATGATCAAAAGGATTAAAATCCATTCTGAACGATAATAACTTACCCAGTCAACTTCTAATACTTTAAGACGTGGTGAACATAACTTGAAATCTTCGTTCTTTAAAGAAAATAAAGCACAACGTGGTATATTCACAACTGCTGCTACCAGTACACCATCATCTGGAGATGATTCATTCAACGACGCTGTTGTGATATAGGAATGATAATTAACGAAATTTAATGCAATATGTAGAAGATCAGTATACAAGAAATTTATGTCATTCACATTGGATCGACTAATCACTGAAGTTAAAATAATTGGATCTGTATAAACTATGGGATGTAGACGGATATCCTAAAAATACATAAGAAAATACATATATAAACTAAGTCTTATAAATAAAAATGAAATTTTAAAGCCTTTATGTTAAACAAAAAATAACTAAAATTTTCAAAAACCTAAAGGATTTCTTATAAATTATCGAACAAATGTAATCAACAGTATGGGACGGAGAAGTGATTTGGACGGAAAAGTGATATGTTGGAAAACGTGTTTAGTTGGTGGGACAAGAAATAGACATATCTGAAGATGATAAATATATTAGATCATATTGTAGTGTTAATTCAATTTGTTTGGACCTCACTTTGTGTTGACTGCTTGTATTCGTGTTAATATACCATAATTTTGGCTCACAATCTGACTTCTAATCACTGAATGGGATAATGTGTTTGTGTATCAACCAAATGATCCAATTTAACAGTCTAGTTTTCTACAGTATTACCAAGTGTCACTAAATCCTATTTTCCACCTTTGTATCAGATGTTTTGATAGAGACATTTCAATGGTTGTTCTGTACAACATGAGTGCTTACTTCAAGCAGAAATTTCTCAAACATTGAATAATCAGTTCGTTCTAATTAGCCCACATGTGACTACTTGTGTTCACACAGATTTGTTATATTTATATGACAGTATTTCGCTCACTTAACTCCTAACCCTGTGGCTGATAAACTTTTTTCGTATGATTTTGATTTATATCGATACACTCGTTGAATACAAATTGGACTGGACATCATGTTTCTACAAATTCTTTGGTACAATTGGAATTTCCTTAACATTTTTTAACATTTTCTTAAACAAATTTGCGTTTATTTTTGTTTAAATGGATTGATACAAGTTCTGGCATATCGTGTCGCGTCACTGTTAATATCATTTCGTATATACGTAGTTAAAGACGGCGTTCGCTTTATTTAGGGTTAGGGACCCAAGAACACATGAAGATAACAAAACCAGGATAGACAATTAGTCACAAACAAGGTTATCGGGACGAACTGACTCACCAATTGTGAAATTAAATCTTCTACTAACATTAAGAGTTGTAGTCGTTCAGAAAAACTATAAAACTATTTAGCTTAAAGAACATAACCCAACCAAAACCATTCATTTGGACAAAAAAACTGTTTCCATCATTTTAAAATCAGCGATACACCTCAGTAATGAATTAAACTCTTTAGCCTTGACTCATCTTCAGTGTATCCGGATATACCTGAGTAAGTACAATTATCTAGACCGACTTGTTAGCTAGTTTGAAATTTCCTTGAGTTTAAGAAGATAGAAATCTGGCTTAGTAAATATGGTGAATAAACTAAGGTGGCTGATCACGAAACTAGCAAAACTTAATCCCAACATTTATTTTTTACTGGAAACCATCAAGGCGATGTTGTCGATCGTAATGGGTCGTTGAGCTTTATTTGGTTGGTGCAAGTGTATTGTTTATTTATTTTCTGATAGACCTTGTGTTCCAGTATTTGTTCATAAATGCCTTTTCATTTAGTATTTTCGAACCACATTCTCAATGTTCAGTCTTTCTCATTATGATCGCCACTGAATTATCTCGATTCCTCTGCTATGCATCATGTTAGCTTCGTCTAGTCGTCCTATCGTTGAAAAAGTTTGAGTCGACATACATTTGTCCCAAGAACTACATTGATAATGATTTACTGATCAAAAGAATTAATGATGAACCACTCGATTACAAATTCATACGAATCATAAACAAAATAGATATAGCTATATGACCTACAGATAAGTCTGTGTAGAACTGCCAATATATACATCCTATGGTTTGTCAGATGTTAACAGAACGTGTATCACTCGCAGAAGTCAGCATTTAGACAATATATTTGCCATCTCAATCAGTTGAACACATCAACTCACAAGTTAGGTGATTTAGTTAAGGTCAGTGAAATAAATTGATTTCTGACAATTGCGGAAAATCCCACACAAGTGAGGAATAATAATCCTGATTCTGAATTTCGACAAGAATTTCATGTATGTAAGTAGACGTTATTATTAGTAAAATGACGCAACGAAGTAATAAATCTGGTTGAAGGAAAACCAAATAGAACTGTTGAAAAGAAATAAACTAAGTCGCTTTAATACAATATGCATACAGGCACTGCTACTTCCGTGTATAAAATGCCTAGTCTGATTATATGAAATAAAATAGTTGACAAGTTGGCTAATGTACTTATGGGAGAGTAGTTAGTGGCTGATGAAATTTCAACATTGATACAAAACGTTATGGTGGGTTTTGCAAACTTACAAAAGCTGTACAGACAAGATGTCTATTTGTACATCGAAAAACAAATATATTTTGTACATCAGTTTGATCTTTACCAGTTTAAACCCGACCAAAGCTGCTACCTTGACGCGGTGGTCAGGCTTGCCTATCGTGATGACCCAACCGAGCTATATTGGCTGGAACATATGTTCCTGTAGGTTCTACCATACCAGGCAGGTCGATTGGTAAACGGTAAGACTAAAAGCAGCAACTCAAGGTCTGAGGGCGAAGTCGTACTGCTGGCTGTACAGAGGTGTGACAGCAGTAAGGTGTTTCCCTCAGACAACCAGCATGACAGCGATGCTCCATTCCATCTGGCTCTGAACATAATGAAGAGCGGAGTCAGCTTAAGCGCAAGCTGACAAGAAGTCTACGCAATGATCGCGAACAGTGGTGAGTAGCGAAAGCAAGAGAGACGGAAAAGGCAGCGGCAATAGGTAATAGCAGACAATTGTTCAGACTCGTTAAGGAAACCGGAATTAGGAACCCGATCGTTAGCGAAAAACTCTCAGAGAAAGATGGACATATTATTCATTCTCAATCCAGCAGATTGGATCGATGGGCAGAACACTTCAGTGATCAGTTCAACTGGCCTTCAGCCACACTTCGGTTTCCCACGATCTCTAGTCAACCTGAATGGCAAGTTAATGTAAATCCTCCGTCCCTTTACGAAGTTAAAAAATCCATAGGAAATCTGAAACGAGGGAGAGCAGCAGGCACTGACAGGTTTACTCCTGAGATTTTTAAGGATGGTGGTCCAGTATTAGCAATGAAATTAACCGAGGTCTTAGGTAGAATTTGGGAACTGGACGTAATCCCATCTGACTGGTCTCAATCACTGATTGTGCCAGTTTATAAGAAAGGACAAAAGTCCTCTTGTGACAATCACAGAGGAATCAGTTTGACTAATATAGTCTAAAATATTAGCCTCAATAATACTTCGACGCCTAATCAAAGCTCGTGAAGAGCAGATTAGAGAAAACCAGGCCAGTTTTCGACCTGGACGTGGTTGTATAGACCAGATATTCACACTACGTCAGGTTCTAGAACACAGGCACACGTTTAGACGCCCCACAATGGTAGTATTTCTCGACCTTAAGGCGGCATTCGACTCTGTTGATCGTGAGGTTCTATGGCAGTGTTTGTCACTGAAAGGAGTACCAAAGTACATTAACCTTATTCAGGCTCTCTACTCGAATACAACTGGTAGAGTGAGAGCTTGTGGCGAACTGTCATCAGAATTGATTACCTCAAGTGGTGTTCGTCAGGGCTGTCCACTCCCCCCATTCTTGTTCAACTTTTTGGTCGACGTACTTTTAGAGATGACACTTTCCTCATCTAAATTTCCAGGGGTTGAACTTCTACCGGGAGGTTCACTTGTTGACTTAGAATATGCTGATGACATAGTTTTATTTGGTGAAGACGCTAACAAAATGCAGAGTCTTCTGACCACTCTAAGCAACAATGCAAGCATGTTCGGGATGCGATTCTCTCCCTCGAAATGCAAAATGTTGCTTCAGGATTGGGTTACATCGACACCCGAACTAGTGATAGGGAGTGAAGTAGTTGAGTGTGTCGACCGCTTCACTTATCTTGGAAGTCTCATCAGTCCTTGTGGTCTGGTATGTGACGGAATCTCAGCACGGATACAGAAGGCTCGACTAGCTTTTGCCAACTTGCGTCATTTATGGCGTAAGCGAGATATCCGTCTATCAACCAAAGGACGTGTTTACTGCGCAGCAGTTCGTCCCGTCCTACTTTATGGCAGTGAAACATGGCCGGTAAGAGTAGAGGATATTCGTAGGTGTTATAACTGTGAACGGCAGCAGATTAGAGGGTAGCGAAATATCGATCGGACCAAAGACGCGCAGACACGTAGAACGACCTAGGGTTCTGATTGGTTCCGCTTCCCTATCTAGCCCAGCAGTTGAGTCCAGAACGCAAGTCACAGCCTCGGATATATGAATCATTATATTTCAAACATACTTTGTTTATATACCAGTCAAACAAACCACATCATACCATAAAATAGAAAATAACATTGTACAATATTGGCCAGTAGGAAAATGACACGTGGAATAAGTACTGACCAATAAGAAAATAATACCATGTCCAAGTCCAAGAATAGCATTAGGCTTAATAGGATAATTTCTGGGATATTCTCCTGAATATCCCAACAGTAGGTTACTAGTATTCGATCATAGGTGTCTTCGAAACATTGCTCGTATATCATGGGACCATCGAGTAAGTAACACAGTTGTTAGGAAACGGCTACTAGGTAAGGATGGCAAATCAATTGATAAAGTGGTGAAACTTCATCAGTTGAGATGGCTGGGACACGTGTTACGTATGCCCAACGACCGAATGCCTCGACGTGCGATGTTCAGTGGTATAGGATTGGGTTGGAAGAAAGCTAGGGGCGGCAAGACCAAAACATGGCACAAGTCCATGAAGTCATTGAAAAGTGGACTGAGTCATGTCGGTACGTCTAGACTACCTGTTTGGGGACTGCGAGTTGATAGCAACCGACGGTTAGAGACCTTAAATTACATGGCTCAAAATCGTTTGCAATGGCGGTGGTGCATTCATTCTTTGTGTTCTCTCAAATTTTGATCTACTGATTTCCCCTTGTCACTTTTTTTTCTCTCCCCAAGTTTGTTTTACTGTATTCTACTCTTTAAGTAACATCTTCAAACACTAATCTTTCCGATTACTGCTTATACTCTTATTACCTCTACCACTACGGGATTTGAATCGACCACGGCATCTCTGTGCTAATGTGGTGTGGCAACTCGAACTGATGTACGTACGAAGTTCTACGTTGTTACTGACTGACTGACTGATTACCAGTTTAAATCTGTGAAATATGCTCTGTAAAGGTAAAAGACATTGTGTAGGTGATCACTGGTAGTCAACTTTATTTGTCTAATCACTCTACGTAATCACGATACAGGACCAGTGAAAGTTAGAAGCATGGCCACCATAATACATTTTATTCAAATGGAATTGAGTAAATAAGTTTAATGGTCTATTTGATAGATTTATTAATAAAAAAAACAAACCTTTTCACTATGTATTGGTAATTGATTGTCAGTAGATGCCCAACGTATAGATTCAAATAAATTCTTATCAAGATGTCTTTGGGATAAAGTACTTCGATCTAGAATGATATCTGGAATCTAGACGAAAGAAAGTTTACTAATATTTAGAAATGATTTATCTGTCGACCAAAATTAAAACAAATATGTGAATACTTCAAATCAAAAAAATCCGAAAAACAACTTGGTGAAACTGGACTATGAATCTTCAACTCATTTGAGAACTCTTATTCGGAAGCTAGAACTTTTAAATCGTTATGTGTGATCTATTTGATGTTGATCATAATGCTTTTGTGTCAGAATCAGAGATGTATAGTACATATTACTAAATGACATGAGTTGCTTGGGAAATTCGATCTTACCAGGTTTAATCACGTTTACAAGATGAAGGTAACTAAAAGACAAAGAGTTTAACTGAATTACTTCCTAAAATATCTCAGATACCTTCACAGTTCTATAAATCTTAAGAATGATTAACACTTTCAGATCATTCACAATCTATAACATTAGTATTATCTTCACAGTTGAATTCACAAGTCGATGTAAGCCAAACCACCAATGAAAACGTGGAAGAAGTGGACGGCTGTTTCTTTCTGTTATAAGACCCCTCAACAGTGCACACCTACGATCCCACACGCGGGGGTCAGATCCCGGATCTTCTGTCTCGCACGCGAACGCTTAACCCCGTACTGATTAGTACTATCCTTTTTAGTGGTACTATTATTTGCATGGGTTTACAATGTTTTTCAGCAAAACTTAAGATATTACTTAATGCTAAAGATTTTGACAAGTGATTTGAGATAGCAACATTATAAGGATTCTATATAAATTGAAATCTACATGACAGAATCCATGCAAAACTTTTCATCAGTTTTAGTGTCTATAAACATCAGTCGAATGACAAGTGGTACAACATTCATATGGGAATAAGTAAACGAATTGCAAATTAGTGATCAAAGTAATTAACTATGGAATTGCAATTTTGAACTTTATTCCATCTACTTAAATCTTAAGATGTGAATAGTAGTCATTAGTTCTAAATTATGAATATGAAAATTGAATCAGATTGTATAAACTTGTACTGAGTGAGCTGTTTATTATTATTGTTAGTATTATTATCATGTCCACTAGCGCCAAACTTGATACCATGAGGTGAAAAAGCTAAAACAGTAATGACAGTGTAGGTATGTTTCAGAACACTTCTCCTCACAACATATTCACAGTCATAATCGTACCTGCCAGTATCCTAAAAAATTCACTTACAAATATACAGTATTTATGTAGATAAGTCAGTCAGTGACATGCAGTGTATAACATGGTAGATATGTGCGTTGGTTAAAGTTGTCACACTCCACTATCACAGAGGGATGAAATGATCAAGGGGAATACCAGATTAGTAGTTAGTATCAATAATAAAATAAATTGGTCGAAGAAACGGTTCAAGAAAAAATGGATTAGCGGAATTGAAAAGAAGGCAATTTAAAAACCAATGATCTAATGAAAGGCAAGAAGTAAATGTACCTGACCTATTAAAAAGGATTCTGAGTAATGTCATTCAAATTCTATAACTAATGGTCACCACAATCACTCGAATCTTGATCAGATAGTCTGTACCTACCTACAAGGTTAAATACAATAGTCTATGTCCCCATGTACTGATCCCATGTCTTGGTTTGACTGTCCCTGGCTTTGTTCCAACCCACTTATATACCAGCCAAAATCGCGCGTCGCGGTAGTCGGTAGGTGGTTATAAGTCATACTTATCCTAATCACCGTAGTCGATAAGATTTCACTATCTCACCAACCAGTCTGCCATCTTTACCTACTACTCGGCGTATAACCTCAGCATTGCTAACACGATTAGTCACAAAGTACACGATGATGCTTCGAAGACACGTATGGTCGAACACCGGTAACCTACAAATATCCTCCATTCTTAATGGCCACATTTTACAGCCATAAAGTGAACTGCCACACAGTTTTACGAGATTATTGAATCGATTGACATCGTCAACTACTTCATGCCCTATCATTAGTTCAGGTATTGACATAGATTAGTCCTGAAACAGTATTTCACATCTTGAGGAAAAACATATCCGAAAAATGCTTGGATTATAGCTTGAATAGGTCAGAATATTCTTCATTCTGTCGACGTCTCCATCAAACAGAACTATATCATCTGTGTATTATAAATCAGCAAGTGAATCTTCTGGTAGATCAATTCTTGAAATCTCAGATGATGAGTATTACCTCTAAAAGCACGTCCATGACAAAGTTAAATAAAATTTGAGAAGACAATCCTGATGGTCATCACTTAGAGTTATCGATTCGGATGACAGTCTGCCGTAACTTCTGACTCGAACAATAGTGTTCGAGTAGAAACCCTGTATAAGGTTAATGTACCACTGGTACTCCTTTTAATGACAGACAGACATAAAACCTGTCAACTTACGGAATCGAACTCTCTATGCCGTAGACTCAAATAGTTAACATTGATGGAGTTTTGGGATAAAGTAACAGGATAGGAGTTGGTGATGGGAATATAAGGCATATTAAGAAGTGATGAAGGGATTTGATCATGAGAAGGAGGATCTCTAGTGCTATTAGAGGTATGAGGGCAGATATTACTTTATGGATGCCTGAAACTGTGGAAGGATATTTCTACTTGAGGGGCTTGAAAGGGAAACTAAATTAGTAGTATTCATACTGGTCACATACCGGATTTCTGCCAGTAGTTCGTACTGTATTAGCTCCATGTTTCAAAATGCCTCAAATCAAAGGAAGTTTATGAGGTAGGCTGGGGTGTGAAATTTTGAGGACCAAACTGTTTTAGCTCTTTCCGTCCTGAGAAGGCAGCATTGCTCCAGATCCTGGTTGTCTAGTAAAAAACCTAACTGCCGTCACACTTCGGTACACTCAACAGTACGACTTATCCCTCGAATCACGAGTTTGCTGCCTTTAATCTTACCGTTCCCAAACTGATTCAGCTGTCTAACAAGATAGGACCTCAAGGAACAACTGTTCCAGAAGATATAGCTCAACAAGATCACTACGATAGACAACCCCGACCTTTACGTCAAGGTAGCAGCTACAATCAGGTATAATAACTAAACATAGATAAACTATTTTATCTGAACCGGTCGGGAGAAAAATTAGGACTTACTTGGAAATGGGACAATAAATTCCCAAGATAATCATAAGTAAACACTGCTCCATGATGACTAACAAAAAGTACTGACTTGAAACCCTCAGCGTAAACATCAACCTTTATTAAAAAAAATAGTTTTAAAAACGAAAAGAAATTTGTTGCATCACTTTGTGAACATACTTGATGCAGAAAATTGAGAGGATACAGTAAGCCTTCAATTAATCATGTACATTCAGTTTTCCTGTTTGCAGTTAACTATACTACTTTGGTTGAATAAATAAGTATATATGGGATATTTGTATCAAATGAAAGATGCTCTATACATGACAGGTTCGGCTATATAAAAAGTAAATCGGAGCCATTGCTACAGAATTTTAACTTAGAGCCCTCCGATATAATTCAAAATAGCAGTTAGAGACGTTGGTGTTATGATATTTGATTACTCTGAGTTCATCTCAAATTATGCTCTATATAGAGCATAACGGTAAAGCGGTAGATTGATTAGTAAACCACTTAAGTTCCAACCACTGGGCTATACATCCTTACGCAGGCGTGTGATACACAAATATTTGGCAACTCAAACTTGAATATAGTGAACGAGACTTCTTCTATCCTCTTGTCTAACCCACTTATAAGAGTATAAAGACTGATTTAGTAATTGAAACTTTGTTGATGATGACCCCAGTCTAATTCACAATAAATCAATTGCAGTAAATAAAATTTACGAACTAAGCATTTTTCGCTAACATAAATCATAGTAAGAATATACTAGAAGTCCATGATCAGAATCTACACTGAACAATTTGTTGTAACGGGAATTCATCTTAATCGATATTGATTTCCTTTCCCTTTAGTTTTATTTGAGGATTGTACATTCCCGATAAGTTCAAACCTAGCTCCACGTATTTTGATATCGCAGCTAAATGTTAACACTACTCTTCACCTTATATGTGGCTTTAATTTCTGTAAAAGAAACTGTGTCCATACCTGGCTATCTAGATGAATTGGTTAGTTGACAACGGATAAGTGCTTGTAATGCATGTTTTAGCCAATAAAGTCGCTAAGGCTTCATATCTTTCTTTTTGATCAACATATTTTCTCTAATATCATAACCACAACCAATGTTTTGACAAAATTGACTGTTAGAAATCCATGACATCCACATAAACTGCAGCACAGGCAGTTCGGTAAGAAAAGATGAATTGATTCACAGCACAACGGATATCGTCTGTGGTGTAGTTTCACAAAAGCAACAGTTCTTTGGTTTGTTAAGTGTTTATTATTGGATAATCAATAATGTCATGCAATTTACGCGCTCAGATACCTTAATTCTTACTGTTAAACCAAACGTTTCTTCAGATGTATTCCAAAGTGGTTTTGTACAACCCGTTTGTGTAGTCAGTGATCAAAGTGTAATACTTTGAGGTCTTAATTTCACTGAAGGCACATATATTGGTTTAAGAAATTACCAATTTATGAACCCAACATTCAACCAGTAGATAGATTATCGAGATCTCAATGACTATATATTATCACAAAATACGTGCAGCTAAGTCTAGATTAAGCTTATAAGTAGCTGCCAAATCCTTTATCGTTAGTAAATACTATGATGGAGACTAAATTCCACAAAGCATGAGGAGACTAGTGTACTAATAAGCACAAGTTTTACGAGTTCATACAACCCAGAGGAAAATTCGTACTCAGTGATGTATTTACTGAAACTCATACGTTTGGTCACTTACTGGAATTCGGCGTGATGACGGTACAGAAACGGGTCACCAAAGGACGTAAATGAAGTGGATAGAATACGAATACACGACAATGGTCTGAAAAGATTAATCAACCTCAGGAATATTTAAAATTTGAACTTTCCCTTTAAACTGATGTACATATGTACCAGGTTTTACGCTATAACTGACTGACTTTGTTTGACGTATTCTCGTGATTCCAAAAACCGTCCCATAAGTCCTATGACTGCAAGTGGTTGAGTGAGTAAGTGTTGCAGCCACAACAGGAAAGAAAGCAATTGGCTGAGACTCCTAGACCTACTGCACAGCGGTTCAACCTTGGCATGATAATGTTTGCAGTTTCTATTGTGATTGGTCTACCAGTAAAGGACGACAGTCAGTGTTTCTAGTGGTTAGATATTCTAAATTCCCAGTTGGAAGCTGGTGACATTTACTTATTAATGAGCAACTTTAAAAGTCATGTCAGCTTCACTAGCTCTTATCAGCTCGAAATTTATTCACCTGGTTGAGCAGGAAACTGTTATATCAACCGACTAACATTGACACTATAAACCACTCGACTTGGTGATACAACATTAACACCATACAACTAACCATATACACCGCAGCGAATCTTAACATATGTTAGCTACGTAGCTGGTATGAAGCGTGTTAGCTATTTTTACTAGACAAAATAGAAATCAAAATACCCACCACTATTGTGTAGCTGCAGACTAAAGAAGTAACAGAATTTTAAACTTGCTACAATGAATAAGCAATATTCTGTTTTCTTACCGCGATGGGGGTTGAAAAGAAGATTTCACCGTAGTGAGATACGGGCCAATTCTCGTGGGGAATACCACATGATTTTCCTGTAACACATTTAAGCACGTTCGAAATGCCGTAAAGTACACCATCTACTGTAGAAAAGTAAACATCGTAATTTCCATCTAAATCGATATCATCTACTAAAGGATTGGATATGACATGCAAATTTTTGGTTTTTACAAGCCATTCAGAAATAAAAAATGCATTTTGTGAAGAAATATTTCTAATACTCTTGGGTAAAATGAATGTGTAACATGGAGAAAGCAAAAAGTGTAAAACACTAAAAAACCTAATGTTAAAATTCATAACTTTGTGCTGTTCTTGATACAGAAATTTTGCGATGCAATAGATATACAGTTATTTAGGTTTATTCTTCTGTTCTAATAATCCTTTAACTGTTGTTAGGAGACTTTCGCCAAGTTCCATTGGTGTGGCTACATTTTTAATCTAGACCAATATGATAAGGCTTTCAAGAGACCTACTTCATATTGGTTTTGAAACAAAACTCCACAGTAGAATCCTGCCGCAAAAACAAACTACGATATAAATAATTGGAACGTAAATCACTTACAGAGTACCTGATCATCGTGCGCGCTCTTTTTGTGGTGTGTATTAGATTACATATTTAGATTTGTGCTTTGATGACAGAAAGCCAATAGACTGTGTTGCTTCTTTTCCGGGTGACTTCCGTGCTTATCTGATATTTTCTTGTATGAGCCAAATATCCAACAGCTTTGTAATGAACTCAATAGACTAAATTGTATATCATACACATAGTTCCGTTTATCATTTTGAAAAGAGCAAGAACAAACATTCTAGCAGAATAGCATGAATTCATTTTTATTTCGTTGGTTCTCGTCAGCTGCTTACAACCTGTGATATTTAAAAATCATAATTAATGGGTTTAAATTACTTACATAAAAGAGTTTGATTGGAAGTTATATTAAAGACATATTCATATAGTATAGCAAGGGTGTAAATAAATTTAATAGACTGAATATTGTAAATATATACCTTATGTGATGAAAGAACATTGTGATAACAGTTCAAACGGTTAGAAACAAATAAACTTTGATAGGAATAAAATGAGTAGAGTTCAGTTGATAAAATAATGGTGTAATAAATGCAAGAAAGAGTTCAAAGAAAAAGAAAAAAAATTACTAAGATATAAGCAGCTGACGAGAACCAACGAAATAAAAATGAATTCATGCTATTCTGCTAGAATGTTTGTTCTTGCTCTTTTCAAGACTAAATTGTAGCGGTAAATGAATCCCCAAAATAAATAACTCTATAAGTCTTCAACATTGGATGCTTACCACATTAATTTTAATGCACTCACCTAGCTGAAGGCGCTCGGTCATGCATCTGCACCAGGTCATGAGTAGGAATGCCGTGCTCAAAATCCCCTGAAATCACTAGCCGGCCTAGATTAGTCGATTGTCGACATATTGGTAACCTTTCAAATATAGCTGCTTAGTACCCTTCCCGTCAGCGCGTACAGATCCCCCCACACATACAATGGATAGCGTGACCATTAAAGAACTCGATGTCTTTGGTCTGCTAAATAAGCTTGACATAGGTAAATCTACGGGGCCCGATGAATTACATCCTCGGCTACTGAAGGAATTATCTAACTTCGTTGCGAACCCTTTAAGTACATGCCTTAACCTATCCGTAACGCAGGGTCGTTTACCCGAAGACTTAAAAACGCCATAGTAAGTCCTGTCTTCAAAACAAGTACGAAACACAAACCTGAGAACTACCGCCCGGTTAGCCTAACTAGTGTGGTTGTTAAAATCTTAGAAAAGATTATTCGGAAGGAGCTGTTTAAGTATCTCGATGAAAACCGGATCCTTTCGGAGAAGCAGCACGGTTTTAGAATAGGTTACTCTTGTCTCACTAACTTATTAGTGGCTCGTGAAAGCTGGTGCGCCCTTAAGGACCAAAGGTTACCTGCAAAGCTTTTGACAAAGTTCCTCACAATCGGCTGTTATATAAGTTAAGAGATGTCGGGATTGGAGGCAATCTATTGATGTGGATAAAAGACTTCTTAGTTGGGCGTCAACAGAGAGTATGGGTGAACTCAAAGTTATCTAGCTGAGGAACTGTTCTTAGTGGAGTGCCCCAGGGAACAGTTTTGGGGCCAGTGCTATTCCTCTTGTATTTAAATGTCCTTCCTCGTCTCCTATCATCATCGTTCTTGCTATATGCTGACGATGTCAGGATATGGAAAACGATAGGATGTAAGAGTGATAGTTAAGAACTCCAAAATGGCCTGAAGAAATTATCTGAATGGTCTCAAACCTGACAGTTGCCTATAAATACTTCCAAGTGTGTTGTGATGCATATCGGTCATCAAGGTACAGATACATAACACTGAGCTACCTGTCGTCCAGACATATAATGACTTAGGAGTCATCGTTAGCCAAGACATAATGACTACTGCACACGGCCGTGCAATAGCCTCCAAAGGTTTTAGAACCTTATGGTCAATACGTAGGGCTTTTAGTCATGTCGAAGCTAAGACGTTTTTGACTTAGTATACAGTGTTCGTACGTCTTTGAGTACTGCATAAAAGCGTCTAGCCCATGTTTAGATGAAGACAGTGAGCTTCTGAAAAAAGTTCAGAGAAGAGCAACTAAGCTGATTACCGGAATAGCGAAGCTTCCGTATGAAGCTCGACTGGCCAAGCTGAACCTTTTCCCATTGTCATATCGCAGATCTAGAGGCGACTTGATTACAGTTTTCAAATTGTTTAGTGATAAATTTGCACCTGATATGCCCTCATTTTTCTTATCTTCCAAAACAGAAAATTTACGAGGACACCCCAAAAACGTTCACAAGCCCAGAACAAGTTACTTGTCAGCTGACTATCGATTTTCCCATCGAATCATCAACGAGTGAAATTCATTATCTCAGCACGTGGTTGAGGCTCCATCCGTCAACTCTTTCAAAAGAAATTTGGATCAACTGAGAGACCACCATTGCCAGGACTAACACAGGCCATCAAGCCTCCTGTTCCTCCCAAACTGAAACTGAACCTCCTCACTTCTGTCTTTTGATTTCACTTGGTTGGTACGATCCATATTAGGTGTTGCTGGTTAGAGCGGTGTCAAACTCCGAATACCTGTATCATCTTCAAAATGTTACTTTTCCGATCGCTTCTTGATATTTATATACAACCTAAGGCCTTTGGTAATGTTGAGTGGGTGGTATCTAGCTAGTCGACTGCACTATTTCAAGTCAGTTTAGTAGTTGTTTGTGAGTTTGTGTATCTCGTAATCTGAATGAACGCACTGTTCTCAGGCAATGGTGAACTTAGATACTGACAGTTATCCCATTACCAGGCAAGAGGTTGGTTGGTTGCAACGTGAAAAAGAATAGAGAAAAAATTCGAATACTATGAGATGGCGATTGTCTCAAAAATTGAGTAAGTAAATCAGTAATTTAGTTCATTAGTGATGCAGATAGTGTGAGGAGATAGAATTTTAAGAACAGAGAGGAAAACTGAGATTAAAATACGAGAGGTAGGAGGAAGTTTGTGAGTTAATGATGTCAATAAGTTTTCGTGCCGGTAAGTACCCTTCCTCTATACTGACATGGCCGGGCCATGTCGTACTGATTAAATGTCTATGTGTTCGCCATTTATTTGACCCCCTCTATAGTGCTTGGTGCTGAATATGAATCTTCTCAGTTATTGTATGTTTTGCTCCAAGGATTGTGTGATTGAGAACCAATACCCTCACAAGGTAAGTTGCCCAATATTCATCAAGCACAGTTATTCCAAGTGAGAGATGATAATCAATGAGTGAGCACGTTTCTAACAAACCTCCCCTAAAGCTATACTCTGATGAGATAGTGCTCACAATCTGGTTGAGACAGCATTCCAAATGGAAGAAACTCCCAATAAGAAAAAGTGGGAGCATATCTGTATTTTCGCTCTCTGATGTGCAACTTTTGGGAGGTTTCCTCGAGGGGCGTAATGATGATATCCTGATAATATGCTCGTGTTGGAGCGATTTGGAGTATCCAATACATTGTATACCATCATTAACTCACCTCTTAATCCTCTGTAGCTCGACAAGAACAATCCCGGATGTTGGAATCGGTTGTCGTAAGGTTTATGTTCTAGACCTACTACTCACCTGTTTGCACGTTTCTGTGCTTCGTCTAAGAGATTTATAAAGAAGGGGGTGCGCTGACATTGAGGACTTCATGGTAAGGCCGTGTGTACGTTTCAAACAGCGCTAGGAGCAATTCTACACTCGGTTCAAGTAATTTATGTGTCTTCTGGAGAGAAAGGATCTGACAGTGTTCTGAACTTCAAGGTGGATTTGAGTGTTCATTCTGCTAACGTGTCAGTAAGAACTGTGGGACGATGACACGAAACTGTCTTCACATAGGTTTAAAGTCCATATCTATTTTTGCTGCATTTCCAATCTAGTTTAAGTCAGAGTCCTGTTCCGATTGGTTTATACTTCTAGATCGCGATTTGTGCGGACAATACAGAGAGGATCATTGTGGTGAATGCGAACTGTTTGCTTCCTGTATTAACAAATATTCATAGTACGATTTGTTGAGAGACTAAAATTTAACCCGCTGTCTACTATTATGATCTAGTTCGGTACTAGTACCCTTGTCTCTCCTACCATAATGATAGAACCGATCCCGAAATTTTAAATTTGTCATGATGTGACTACCTAATGTGTAAGATCTTATGCAAAATTCATGCCATTGTCTATCCTGACTTCTTGTATCATGACAATCAGCAATATGATATTTAACACTTCTGGAGAACTAATTTAAACTGTGGATAGAATAATACATTTGGTGTGAATGGGTATACGTTGTACAGAATGACCGCATGTGTAAGACCGATTCATACCATACAGAACCACTATTCATGCGTTCACCGTTTTTGACCTTTACCCCGTCAAATGTATAATATGAACATTCTCAGTTATCTTATGTTCAGCCTCGAGGATCTTGTGGTTAGAAGTGATACGACTACAAATTGGTTTTTAAGCTATGGCATGTCATTTCCTCCGTCTACTGACTTTCATATTGTGTTTGTCGACTGTGTAGATTAGTGTGTTCCTTCACGAGGATTTGCAGATGTGATATCATATAAAAAACAGTTGGGGATAATGAGTGAATAAGTGACAGGATAAAAATGTGGTTCGAGAAGAATGAATAGACTGGTCTGTTCAGAGGCTAGAATATAGTATCAGCCCTTACAACATCTTGTGTCAAATTATGCATGCCGTCATCCTTGTGACAAAGTCTGTGGTAAAGATAATAAGCGA